CTGTATTATCATCATGGCTTCACCATGTGCACTGGTGGTGCTGCTGCCTGCGCCTGTCCAGGAGATGCTGCTTTGCAGATGTATCGCCTCCAGCACAATTGTCAGGGCTGGGGGACACTTTGAGTTAACAGTCCCACAGCTCATTCGTGGTCCTGTTGGGTGCCTGCTCAACGCTGAACCCCTTGTTTGAAAAAGGGGACCTGGGAGGAGGAATCTGCTCCACAAGCTGCCAAGAGAATGGTCTCTGCCTGTCCCCACAGGGCAGTTTGTCTCCTGAGACCGTCTCTCCTCCTGCCCCATGTTCTCCCCTGTCAAATGTGGTGGCCTGGCAGCAAACCCACCGCTGCATCCTGCTCAGGGTCTGTGCTTTTGTCATTGCAGAGGAACGTGACCCCACTGTGCGTCTTCTGGCGGGAGGACCCCACTGGTGAGTGCTTCTGTGCTTGGTGTGGAGCCAGGCTCTGCCTTTGCTACTTTTGCAGGGTACCACAGATCCACTGGCATGAGTAGAAGCTCCTCTGCACTTCCCTTCCTCATTCCAGCTCCACAAATCTTTCCACTGGTTGATTTCAGGTTTTTCCCTAGCCTGAGACCTTCATCTGTCCCTAGGGATGCCAAGGGTGCTATCTGAGTGTGTGTGCTTGGCCTGGGACAACCTGGAACCACATGGGGTTCAAACTGGAACACAAGAGGTTCCACTTAAACCTGAGAAGAAACTTCTTCTCAGTGAGGGTGACGGAACACTGGAACAGGCTGCCCAGGGAGGTTGTGGAGTCTCCTCTGGAGACATTCAAGACCTACTGGGACACGTTCCTGTGTAACCTTATCTAGGTGTTCCTGCTCTGGCAGGGGGATTGGACTAGATGATCTTTGGAGGTCCCTTCCAATCTCTAACATACTGTGATACTGTGAACCCCCACTTTGGTTCTCCTTCCTGCCATAGACACCTTGCCCTGAGGATCCCCAGACCTGATGTTCCTGCTGCTCACCAGATGCTGTCCCTTTCTCTCTAACAGCCAACTCTGGGAGCTGGGACAGCTTCGGTTGTACAACAGAGACAGGGGGCAGCTGGACAGAGTGCAGATGTAACCACCTCACCTACTTTGCCGTGCTGATGGTGGGTAGCACCCTCCCACAGCAGTCCACATCGTTCCCACTGGCTGTTTTTCCTCACCATCTCATTCCTCCCTCTCCTCAGGTTTCCTCCCTGGAGATCACCTACATACACAGGGATTACCTGAGTATCATAACCTATGTCGGCTGCCTGATCTCAGCTTTGGCATCTGTTTGCACCATCTTATTCCTCTACTTCAGGTATAGTGTGACAGTTTGCCCCATGCTCCCTGTCTTTGTCCTGTCCATTGCGACTGCACCTGGGTGTATGCAAGCTTTCCAAATGCAGTGGGGTGGCCTGGCTGGGAGCATGATGATGGAGACATGCTTGAAGAAAGCAGAGTTTTCCTGTCCAGAAACCACCCCTTGGTCAGGTCTCCTGCAGAGCACTCAAAAACACTGGCTGTTTTCAATGACTTTTGGTTGTTGATGCAAATTCACAAGCAGAAGCCTGCAAAGATCTTTCAAGGGCTCAGTGGAGAAAATGAGTGTCTTCTCCTGAGTCATGTCACTGATCCTGCATGAATGATTCAGAGCTGAAATGATGTTGCTCCCTGCCCCGCTTGGCACAGACCTTAAATGAGGGCTCAGCTGCAGGGCTCTGGATTTGCACATGTAATGATGGTCCCAGCTGTGGGGCCAGGCTCTCGGCCTCTGACACCACCAGAGGGGACGAGTTGCCCAATGCAGAGTTATGTTGTGGGGCACCAAGGGTGCAGGCCACACCACAGGTGTGGTGGTGAGGTGTCCCCACCTTGACCCTCCAGGAGCAAGCAGCGAGACCAGATCACGAGCATGCACATCCACATGAACCTGCTAGGTGCCATCTTCCTCCTGGACGTCACCTTCCTCATGTCTGAGCAGTTGGCTTCCAGCAGCAGCGAGGCTGTCTGCAGAGCTGGTGGGCTCTTCCTGCACTTCTCCCTCCTGAGCTGCCTCACCTGGATGGGCATCGAGGGCTACAACCTCTACCGGCTTGTGATCGAAGTCTTCAGCACCTACCATAACCACTTCCTCCTCAAGATCTGCCTGGTGGGCTGGGGTGAGCATGGGGGAGGCAAAGAGGCCCCGAGGGCACAGGCCATGGGGTGGAGGGCACCTGGGTAGGTTATCCCACTGTAGATGGCTCCTGGATGGGGATGTAGACATGGCTGTGGGGAAGCAGACGTCTGGGAGTAGAGGGGTCTCTGCTGGGAGACTCAGTGGAGAAGGAGACTCCATGGCTGAGAGTAGAAGCTGGTGGTAGAGCAAAGGTCATGACATAGCAATGGGATGCTCTTTCTGAAAGGAACACCCAGAGCAGCCCAGAGATGGGCTTGATGCAGGAAGCACCCGCGCGTCTCTGCTGCGCTTCAGGCAGGGGGATGTGGTAGAAAGATCTCGTGATCTTTCCTGGCCTAAAATTCCACAGCCGAGTTTGATCCTCTGACTGGGGTTGATGCTGCACAGTCAGTCCTGTGTCAGGGCTCACAGTAGGTGTCATTGTGTGCTCCATTCTTAGTTCCTCTTGGTGGGGAGGGTGTTGATCTGTACTCTGTACAGGGAGAAAGGGGCAACGAGTCCTTCCAGGAGCTCCAAGGTCTGGGGACTAGGGCAGCCACTTCACTCTGTTCTTGCCACCCAGGACTCCCCTTTTTCTGTGTGATGCTGATCTTCCTGGCTAGCTGGAGAAACTACGGCCCGTTCTCCATCCCCATCTATGAATCCATTGTTGGCAAATCCACCAACGCAACCATGTGAGTCATCAGAACTGGGTTGCCTCATCCTTGGTCTTAGATGAAGTCAACTGGCTGAACCTCCACTGTGTCCTACAGGACCTCCTCAGCTGTTCTGTGGCTTTCCTGGGGCTCTGTGCAGGGTGGTGGTGGGATCCCCCCTCCCTGTTTCACTAAGCTGGGTTCTGGGCTTGCATCACACCTTCGTGTTCCTCCTAATCCCTCAAACCCACGTCCCCGTGGGGTGATACAGCATAACCCTCTGCCCACTCTCTTCCCTCCAGATGCTGGATTACGAGCCCCCTTATCCATAACGTTGTGAACCTGGGTTTCTTCAGCCTGGTGTTTCTCTTTAACTCGGTCATGCTGGGGGCCATGGTCCGGGAGATCCTCCGGCAGAACAACAAAGGCCACAAGCTCAAGCATGTTCTTGCCCTCTTTGGGCTGAGCATCCTGCTGGGCATTCCTTGGGCACTGGTCTTCTTCTCCTTCACCTCTGGCGTCTTCAGCCTCGTCTCCCTCTACCTCTTCACCATCATCAACTCCCTCCAAGGTGAGGCAGGGGTGCAGGGCCCCTGTGAAGGGGTGTTGGTGCGGTGGTGACAGTACAGGAGGGGCTGTCCCTGGCAGGCTGCTGCCTCACTCGAGAGGATTTGCCCACCCTTCCTCTCTCATCTCCCAGGCTTCCTTATCTTTCTCTGGTACTGGACCATGGTGCTGCAGGCGAGGAAGTCCTCTGATCTGTAGAGCAGCTCCGACAGCACCGAACTGCAGCCCAAGAACAGGCAGAGCCAAGGACAGGAAGGACCAACGCTGTTCACTTCGCTACAGCACCCACCTCAGGGGCTGCTGGAGCCCAGGATCCCCTCATCTCTGCCAGCCCCCTTACCAGCTTTCCCTTGGTAGCCCTTGGCTTGGCATCACTGGGGCAAGAGGGAGGGATGGTCGCCCAGGCAGTGGGAGTTGTAGGAGGTGGAAGGGGCAGAGACAGGGTCCCTGGTGCCTCTGGATGTCCCCTCCCATGCCCTGAGGCCAGGGATGGGCTTTTTCCCTGGTGGAAAAGGCCCCATCTTCATCCCTTGCTGGTGATTACCAAGAAGGTCCATCCCCAGTGAAGACAGAGTAGCTCTGCCCCCAGCCCCCTCCAGCAGCTGAAATGGTCTAGTTTTGTTAATTTGTTGAATGCCTATTTTTGGATGGTGCAGAAGTTCAGTGGGTGCACCCGCACACCAGACTTGTGCCCATTAAAGTTGTTCCTGCTTGGATCATGGCTTGCTGGGGTCTCTCTGCTGGGCATGTTGGCAAATTGGTGGTTCTCCAATGGGATCCATCTCTCAGTCAGGGTTGTCCCATCCTGGGCAGGACCCGGTGTGCATCCCTAATGATTCTGCTGAGCTGGGCCAATGAAGGTGCCCTGGCAGAGCACTGGTAGCCCATGGCCATAGGGAGCAGGGTGACAGCGGGAGATGCCATGGCTTGGGAAGCGACTGTGGTCTTTAAAGACCCTTGTACTCAGCGCTTGTGAGGCAGCACATCAAATCCTGTGTTCAGTTTTGGGCCCCTCGCTACAAGAGAGACATTGAGGAGCTGGAGCAGGTCCAGAGAAGGGCAGCGGAGCTGGGGAAGGGCCTGGAGCACAGGTGTGATGGGGAATGGCTGAGGGACCTGAAGTGGGTTTAGTCTGGAGAAGAAGAGGCTCAGGAGGGGTCCTTGTTGCTCTCTACAACTGCCTGATGGGAGGATGGAGCAGGAGGTGGCTGGTCTCTGCTCCCAAGGAACAAGGGATAGGACAAGAGGAAACGGCCTCAAGCTGCACCAGGGGTGGTTTAGACTGGGTGTTAGGGACAGTTTCTTCCCCGGAGGGTGCTCAGGCATTGAAACAGGCTGCTCAGGGCAGTGATGGAGTCACCATCCCTGAAGTGTTCACACACCGTGTAGATGGGGTCCTCAGTGACATGGTTCAGTGGCAGTGCTGGGGAACGGTTGGACTTGATAACCTTAAAGGTCTTTTCCAACCTGATTGATTCTGTGATTCTGTGACCATCACTGCCCAGCAAAGAGGAAGGCTGTTGAAGGATGGGAATTCAAAGAGGGAGTTTTTGCAGGACAGGGATCTCCTCAGTGCCTACAGGCAGAATAAAGCAATCCTGGCTGTGCTGCTTGCAAGCCCAGCACTGTATCTCTCATCCCACTAGTTCATCTTCTGGACAACGCTTTACTTGTGGCTCATCCCCCTCTGCAGGGATTCCGGCTGGGGTAGGGGGAACCTTCCCACCAAGGGGATATTTCATTCCCAGCAGCTCACAGCAAAGCCCAGTGGCATGCCCAGTTTCCTAGAGTAACACGATCATAGAATGGTTGGGTTGGAAGGGACCTTAAAGATCAGCTGCAAAAGGCTGGGATAGGGATGCTCCAACATGTCGCTCTGGTGGGGACTGTTAACCAAGGATCTGCAGGATGCAAGTGAAAGTGGGAAGACAAAAGCCCCAAGTCAGGTGGAAGTGGCCAAGGAGGAAAGGATGTGAGTGACGGTTACTGTGAGCTGGGGCAGGAGGTCACTTGCAAACCCACAGGAAGGCGTGAGGGGTTCTCAGAAGGGAAATGAGGAGACAGCCGTTGCCTCTGGAGCAGTCACAAGCCTCAGGGGAACCCAGGGAGGAGCAGAGCTGTTGATAGGTGAAGAGCAGAGCGCTGTGGGATGGGTGGGAGCAGCCCGGACACCACACAATGCAGTAGGAACCTGCTCCTGGGCATAGCCCTGCTGTTCCTGATGCTGCCCGGTGAGTGACGGGTCAGGGGGATGTGGGCAAGTGCAGGCTTGGGGGTGAGTTTTCCCATGGAAAGCACTGACTCGAAGACCACAGCAGGGTTTCACCATGATACGTGGCTGGGCCGGGAGGGAGTGTTCCTGCTGGGATGTGTGGAGAGCTGGCAGTGGGGTGGGTTTGCTTCTGGGGCTGTTTCAAAACCTGGGACCAGCAGCCCAGGGTCTCATCTTCAGCCACCAAGGGGCTGGATGTGGTGGCTTTGGCTTCTCCAGCCCTGATGCCGTCCATGCTTTTGAAGCCCACGTAACTGAAGGGCTGCTCCTGTTGAGCCTGGCAGCTGCTGGACTCTGCTGCCTCCCCTCCTGCTGGGGCAGAGGGAGTGCTTACCTGAAATGTTGGGGTTTTCCCCCTATTCCCCTACATGCTTTCCCTCCAGACGCTGCCAGAGGACAGGAGATCTGTGCTGGTGAGTGGTCCCCCCATCCCTGCCCATGCCCCCAGTGCCACGCTGCCCAGTGGTCACCTTGTTCCCCTCCTGAGCAGCCCTGGGGCGGGGTGATGGGCAACACCAGTGCTGCAACGTGATGGTGGAGCAGGAGGAGCGAGGAGAACGGACGCTGAGCCCCGACCTGCCCCAGCGCTGCCCGGAGCTGGGGCGCTCAGGCAGCCCCGCATGTGCCTGCCTGCGGGAGCGCTGGCTCAGGTGAGGGCAGGCTGGGCACGGCAGGGCTTGGGGGCTCAGCCCCCCCAGAGCACAGGTCCCACGCTCCTCCTGCCCTGCAGGCTGCTGCAGGCGGTGGGGCCAGTGCTGCACAGTCATGTGCCCGGGGTGAAGGTGCTGCTCCTGAACGTCAGCAGGGCCGTCACCCAGGACGTCCACATTGCTTTTTCCCCCACAGAGGTGAGCCGTGCCCCTCTCCCTTGCTCGGAGGGGCCTGTACCTTCCGAGCATCCCTCAGTGCCTGCCCCAGGGCTTGGTGCACCATGGCGTGCTATTCCTCAATCTCGTTCCGCGGTTGCATCATGGACCAACATCAGCTTTAGATTCCCTTGGCAAGAAGTCATGTGAAATAGTGTTAGGGAGGGAAGAGCCTCCCTGAAAAGCTGGTGACCAAGGTGAGGGGGAGGTGGACAGGGAACATGTAGGACCTTGTGCCTCGTGCCCACACACCAGCTTTCCCACTGTCTGGATGTCGCAGGGAACCACATCCCATGGGTGATGGTGGGCTGGAGCTCTCCTGGGACCTCCTCCCAGCTCTGCCCCTTTCCTGCTGGGTGCTAGGGATGAAGTTCTCCCCTTCTGCCCTGGGGATCTGGCTGATGTAGCTGAGCAAAACCCATTCAGGCAGGGCTGAATGCCTGGAGCAACGCTGGTGGGTCCTGAACAAAGGTGATGCTGCCAGCAGCACCTACCCCCCTTCTCTGCCACAGCACCCCAGGATGCTGAATGCGACAGGGAAGGGGAAGGCAGGAGAAATCTATCTCCCTCGGGGGATATTCTGGTCCCTGAGCAGCCAGACAGTGCACGTGGTGGTGACGGTCCTCAACATCCCACAGCTGGGCATGTTCCAGGTATGAGCCGGTGTTGCTGGCATCCATCTGGCTGCTGCTACCTGCTGCTTGGCTCAGGTGGCACTGCCCCACACAGGAGGTCAACCAGACAGGGCAGGTCCTGGACAACACCGTGGTGGGCATCACAGTGGGAGAGACGAGCATCTCTGGTCTGCGGGACCCCGTGCACCTCACCTTTGCCCATGGGCAGCTGCCCCACGTCAGTCAGCGGTGCCCTCCTTCCCTCCTTCCCCTGCTGCCTCTCACTGAGGTGTTGGCTGATGCTGATCACCCCCCTTGCAGGGCATCACCCCACAATGTGTCTTCTGGGATCCCAGCAAAGGTCTGATCCTCACTGGGGCCTCTTTGGGGCTGGGTGTGGGTGCTGTGCCTGGCTCTTGGGGTCATCACACTGTGCTTGTTTCAGGGCAGGCAGGAGGCTGGAGCAGCAGCGGATGTGACACACAACCCTGGGACAAGGGGACACGCTGCTCCTGTGACCATCTCACCTTCTTCACCCTCCTCCTGGTGACAACCCTACTCCCCACAGCTCCTGTCTGTGCTGTATGCCCCACCATGGTGGCCCCTTGGGTACCACCAGTAGCTGCACAGGGACAATTATAGCCGCTCCAGGGCAAACCGAGGTCCCCAAATCAAGCCCAGCTCAGGAGGGCAGCAGCAACTCAGCAGAGCTGGTACCTGGAGAAAACAGTTCCCAGCCTATTGCAGGCTCTGGAGCAGCAAGGCTTGGGGTGCTGTCTGCTGCTGGAGGTGCTCACGGGGGTCCACCATGGTCTGCCATGAGCACATCACCTTCACTCATCCCTTACCCACCCCAGGGAGGATCTCCTCTGAGACACCACTGCCCCACTACCCCCAGAGACCTTCTGGGGGAGCAGACCAGGGGCATCCCTGGAGCCTCTGCAGCAGCCACTGGAGTCAGCAGTCCCGTGGCTTTGGTAGCTGCAGTCAGGTTGTCTAGGTTGGTCCAGGGTCTGTCTAACCCAAAGTGCGTGTGTTTGACAGAACCCAGCTCTGGACAGGTCCACAGCACAAGCCCTGATGGCTGTTGCCACTGCTGGTTGCGGGGTAGCCATGGCTTTCTCCATCTTCACCATTGCCTTCTGCATCTTCTTCAGGTAGGATGTGCCAGCATCCCCCTAGGGACTCATGAGGATGGGAGTGGTGTAAGGCAGCTCTGGTGCTCCTGCATGAACCTGCCGTGACACAGGGCACTGCTCGGCCGTGACCCTGCCTTTCCTGCTCCCCCTGGGGACGCTCAGGTGCAGGTACAGGTCCGAGGAGACCCTTCGCATCAACCTGGGGCTGCATGTAAACCTGGTGGGCAGCCTGCTCCTCCTCAACCTGGCCTTCCTGCTCAACAGCAGGCTCTCCACCGGAACCCTGCTGGGGCCCTGCAAGGTCCTGGGGGGGTTCACCCACTACTGCCTGCTCTGCTGCTTCACCTGGATGGCGCTGGAGGGCTGTCACCTCTACCTTCTCTTTGTCAAGGTCCTCGGCACCTACATCCGTAACTACCTGGTGAAGCTGTCCCTGGTGGGCTGGGGTGAGCACCATCAGCCTCAGTGAGAGGTGGGGGAGAGGCAGGCTACAGGTTACAACCAGAGGGGAAACTGGATGATGCAACAGTGGGCAGAGAATGAGCAAGCCCCTGTCCTGCCCACAGCTCTTTCCAATGCCGTGGTCACGGCTGAGAAGTGTCTTATATGGGCTTGGGGCACCCGCACCTTCACCCTGCTGCAGACCATCCTCCTGCTCATCAAGCAGGTGATGTCCCTGGGGTCTTTCCTCACCCATTGCCCTCCACAGCACCATGGGAGGCACTGGAGTAGAGGAGGGGACACACTGAGCCCTGGTACTCAGCACTGTACTTCCTTCTCCACGTCATGTCCCAGCAGCACCCACTGTGCCCCCAGCACTTATGTAACCTCTCTGGCTCCCTAAGCTCCATCCTCCTGGAGGCCAGCACACCCAGGGCCATGCAGAGTCCCCAGGCGATGACCTTGCCTCCTTCTTGCCTTCCTGTCCTGCCCCAAGTGTCTCACTTTTTCTTCCAGGCTTCCCTGCTCTTGTGGTGGGGGTGGCAGGAGCCATCGGCAGCTATGGAGAATACAGCATCCAGACCACGGACCACCAGGTCATAGCCCGCCTGTGCGTGCCCCAGCACCCACAGGGATTAGGGGCCCTTTGGCATGGGTAGCAGTAACCTGGCCCTGCTGGGAGGGTTGGGGTGGTTGGTTGCACCCATCCTGCTCGGCTTTGCGCCGCACTTCTGCTTCCCCAGTTGTGATTGCAACACAGCAGCCAGAGCCGTGGTAGCCACCACCCCTGGTGCTGAGCCTGCAGCCCCCAGCCCATAGGGGGACATCCAAGGCTCACATGGAGCTTCCCCAGGCTGAGCAACAGGAGGGCAGCAGATACGCACCACTGTTCACTCTGGCCTTGGAAAACCCCACCAGCACAAGGGTGTCCCTGCATCCCCCAACATGTGCTCCTGGGGAGGCCCTCATGGGTGCTGCTGGGGGTAGCAGAGCCACTGGAGGCACTGTGATTGTCTCTTTTCAGGTGCTGGATCACTTCCAAGCATCTTCTGGTTCACTACATCACCAACTGCGGCTACTTTGGCCTCATCTTCCTGTTCAACACAGCTGTTTTTGGGGTGGTGATCCAGAAGAGCTGCAGTCTGCAGAGCACAGGGGTAGTACAGGGAGACCGCAAGGCCTGGAAGGTGGCCCTGGTGGCAATGGGGCTCTTCTGCCTGCTGGGAGCCACCTGGGCCCTGGCATTCCTCACCCATGGCACCTCCTCTGTGGCCATGCTCTACCTCTTCACCATCCTCAACTCCCTCCAAGGTCAGGGCTGGCTTCGAGCTGGGCATTCTGGGCTCGGGTGGGGAAGATGGAGAAGCAGGGACCAGCCTGGTAGTGGCTTGACCAGGGTTCCCAAGGCACCAACATCTTCCCAGCACTTCCCTTTGGCAGGGAAACACCAGGTCCCAGCCACCAGCATGGAGCTGGTCATGGCTCCCAACCACATCCACCCCACTGAGGGTGGTTTTCCTCAAAGGAAGTCATTTGTTGGCAGAGGAAGAGGGACATTATCCACCCAGGGCATGACCCAGCCAAATGGCTCACCATGAATCGTGGGGAGACCCTCCTGCTAGAGTAGGAGCAAGCTGGGGGAACACCCTGAAAGTGGCAGGGAAGAGCCAGCAGCATTCCAGCAGGATGCTTCCCACTATACCCTGCTGCTCAGTGTCTGCCTTCCTCTCCCTGCAGGAATCTTCATATTCATCTGGCTGGTTGTTCTCTACTACCCAAAGGCAAAGGAGACCGTTGGCTCCTTCTCCCACATCATCAGACCTGACAAAGCCACCACAGCCTCCCAGGACTAGCTGCTGGCTGCAGCTCCCTCCCTGCCTGCACGTGCCCCTGCTGGGAGCGTGCCTCAGTTGCAATAGGTGCAGCTTCCCGCAGAGGATGAGGGCTCAGTTCACCATGCCTCAGTTTACCCTTCAGTAGGCAGGATCCACTTTAGCTGTAGATGCACTTTGCTTCAGCCGGCCTGCGGTGGGCAAGGAGTTCTGGAGACATCCCTTCTGCCAAAGTCCCTCCATGCTGCAGCTGCACCAAGGTCTTGAACTGCCCCTGATCTCCTTCTCCTCTTGTGGGGGCAAGGGGGGAACCCATGAACCATCTGCCTTCAGCCAGGATGGGGCCATCCTGCTCTGTTAGAGATGGCCTCTGGTGCTGGACCAGCCCAGTGGTGGGTTTTTCTGCTGTTGGAGGTGGAATGATTGATTGACTCCAGCCCAGACTCAGGAGGTTCAGGTCTGGGAATCATCAGAAACAGAAATCCCATGAGGTTCTTTGTGGTACATCCCCTCCAAACAGACTGAGGCTGAGCTCTTTGGGCAGGGAGCTGTTGAATATCCCTCCTTTTCCAACCATTTCCAGGAGGTCACTGTGCTTCAGCTGAATGCACGCATGGCCACTCCTCTTCTTTACCTGTGTTTTAGTATTAAATCTCTTGTCAGCTGTCTGAGCAGCTTGATTTTAGTCTTTGATGCTCACAATATTGTTTATTATTTGCTTTATACTAGGGATGATTTTGTGGGTAAAAGTCTTTCCTGGGTTCAGCAGTAGCAGTCATTTTTCTTCCTCTTAGTAGCTGGTGCAGTGCTGTGGTTTTGACTTTCAGCCTGGGAACAGCACTGATAACACCGATGGTTTTAGTTGCTGCTCAGTAATGTTTACTCTGACCAAGGAGCTCCTCAGTCTCTTGCTCTGCCAGGGAGGAGGGGAAGCCGAAGGGAAGCAGAGACAGGACCCCTCACCCAAACTAGCCAAAGGGGTATTCCATACCACAGCACATCATGCCCGGTATATAAACTGGGGGGAGTTACCTGGAAGGGCGAGATCACTGCTCAGGTCAGGCTGGGTGTTGGTCAGTGGGTGGTGAGCGGTTATATTCTCTTCCCTTGTTATTTCCCTTATCATCACTACTACTGGTAGCAGCAGTGGTTTGTGTTATACCGTAGCTACTGGACTGCTCTTATCTCAACCCATGGCAGTTAGATTCTTTTGATTCTCCTCCTCATTCCTCTGGGAGCGGGGGCAAGAAGTAGGGGGAGTGAGCAAGCACAACTGCATGGTTCTGAGTTACCAGCTGGGCTTCAACCACAACAAAGTCTTGCTGGGAATTTATCATGAATGAAAGGAGAAATCTGTCATGAATGAAGAATGAAATATCCATGGATAGGTGTATATATATATATACACACACATATATATATATGTGCATGCACAGAGCAGCCCTTTCTCTGCTAATGGTACATCTGTGTCACACAGAACCATGCAAAATCCAGCTTTGGTGGGCAAGCATCTAGTGTGGGCACCTCCAGCTCCCCATGGGTGACTCTCTGGGAAGGAGGAAAGAACTTTCCATCACAGAATCATATAATCCCAGACTGGTTTGGGTTGGAAGAGACCTTAAAGCTCATCCAGTTCCAGCCCCCTGCCATGGACAGGGACACCTTCCACTAGATCAGGTTGCTCCAAGCCCCTGTGTCCAACCTGGCCTTGAACACTGCCAGGGATGGGGCAGCCGCAGCTTCTCTGGGGAACCTGTGCCAGGGCCTCAGCACCCTCATATAATGCTATAATAATTCAGATATACATATCAATAAGTATTTAAACTGCTTAGAAAGTTAAAATAAAAGCCTTGAACTGTATTGCCCATTCCACACTCAGGTTAGATGGACTGAAAACCTCACACTCTGTAAATAAGTTAATTATTAGTCATTGGTAATGTTACTGCTCATTAGGGATATAAACCTAAGAATTGCTCTGTGTGCTCATTATTTAAGCACCATAATACAACCATTATTGAGATACACACTGGGCAGGACTGATCTGTGACCAGACTCAGCACAGCAGGTCAAAAGTTCCTATGAACTCGACCATGTATGCATGGAAAAGCAAGTTTTGAATAAGTGAATAAGGATGCTTGAAGAGCATGGGCCAGGAAGGGATGAGAAGGTCACAGGAATACTATAGGGAACCAAAACACTCTGATGTGGCTCATTCTCGAAGCACTGTTTGCATCCAATTGTCACATGCAGAAGCCTCTCTGTTGCTGTCACATTTATTTCATAGAATCATAGGAGAGTTAGGGTTGGAAAGGACCTCAAGATCATCCAGCTCCAACCCCCCAGCCATGGGCAGGGACACCTAACACTAGACTATATCACCAAAGACTTCATCCAGCCTGGCCTTGAACGCTGCCAGTGATGGAGCTTCTGGGCACATCTGCCTTCTACACCAGCCAACGCCTTGCGCTGATAGCTGCCACAACCACAAGGAACAAAGTGACAGTACACAGCACAAGGAGGGTCGTAGAGAGCCACGGGTTGTGGCCTGTCGAAGAAGAGAAAGGTTGGTTACACATATGGGGCCTCTGAGCCACCGCTGAGCCCTGACACAGCATCTTCTGGCTGGGGCTGAGCTGGGGAGATAACAGCCACTGCAGCCAGGGGTATGTTGGGGTCCAGAGGGCACTAATAACAGGACTCAGTCATCCCAATTGGCCTCATGTGGAGACTCCACCCACACACACTGCCTGGGGGCTCCATTTAGCTTGTCATTCATGCGGCTGGTCTGAGCTATGCTGTAAGTGGGCTTGGTCCTCGATTGACCTCAGTGCTCAGAAGCCTGCCTTGCTGGGTTGATACAGATACAGTGTGAGAGCCCAGACTTACTTGCCTGGCTCCTGGCTCCTGGTTCCTTCCCACCCTGCTCAGCCCGACCTGTGCCTGGTATGGAGCTGCTCACCAGAGCCAAGCTCTGCGTGATGGTTTGGCTCCTGGAGCACACCCTGTATGGCTTTGACACCTGAAAGACTCCATGCTCCTCCGCAGAGCAGCGACTTTAGCAGTGCTTTTAAATAACCAGGCATTGCCTAGAGAGTTGAAAGGGTCTGTGAGTTGCTCCTGGCCTCCCCAGAGGGACATACATACCCTTCGGGTCCTTTTGGTCATTCCTGGAGTGGTTGGTCCTTTTTTCCAGTACGTAGATTGGCCCGTAGGAGGCAATCTTACTGTAGTCATTTGCCAGTGCCCGCTTGCTCCTCCAGTGCCTAGGGCATTGCTATGGACAAAGCCAAGGGAAGGGTGTTGGGACCAGAGGGCAGGGGAGAAGCCCCCTCTGGGGCAAGAGCACATCCTGGTGGTCTGCTGCTGCAGAGGTACTGCTGGGGCTGCAGCCTGGGAGCGGACAAGAGCCTGATCCTGCCCAGGTCCTAGCATAAGCCTCTCTGCCTGCAAATACCCAAACAACAGCAGGAAGAGGGAAAGGAGCTTTCTGTTGGGTTCAAGCTTTACTTGGGCTGTACCTTTACTTCAAGGTGCTGGGCTGAGCTCCTGCTGCTGGGAGGTGTTTATTGTGCTGAGGCATCCAAACCCAGGGCACAGCCCCTTCTCCACACAGCAGGCCCAGGGAAGGCAGGTCCCTCTGCATGGCCAGGGAATGGCGCAGACCACTGGGAGAGCTCACCTTGGCACAGGGCTCCGGGCCACTGGGGAGACAGAGCTGGACACGGCAGTGCAGGAACACCTTGGTGTGACTGACAATCTGGAACATCTGGAATCTGAACTTGGCAGTAGCGCTCTCTCCAAAGCTGTTCAGGTATATCACTGTCTCATCATAGGGACACCTGAGACACCATGGCTGAGTCAGAAGGGGGAAACAAGGGGGAGCATCCCAACCTGGGATACCAAGCACATGGGGACTGGGGGCAGCTCCCAGGCATTGCTGAACAGAAGTATTACTGTCTTGGTGCTGACGGGGTTGACTTTTCTTGGCACCCTGAATTGTGCCCAGCTCCGTGAGGAACTGTTACCAGCACAGGAGCATGTGGCATATGTCCTGCCCTGTGGAGCCACAGCTCTACACAGGTGCAGTGAGCCTGGCTGTCTTCCCACCTCCCAGATATCCGTGTTACTGGCTTTAGCTTAGCTGCAGCCAACACAAGCTATTCAGCAGAGACCTCTCTATATATTGCACCAAGGTCTCCCCTCTCCACTTCCTGCTCTTTGCCTCACCTGCTGGCCAGAAGTGATGCTGGAGGGAAGGCAACACAGCAGGGTCAGGAGACGAGGCTCAGTTTAGAGTGATTAGAGGGATCACCTATGGGCTGTTCCACCTATTTAATGATGGTGTCCACCATAGGTTCCACCCATGGAAATTATGGTGCCATTGCTCCTTCAAAGCATCCAGTCCTTAGCACCCAGCAAAGAGGTGACTGTGCTCATGGTGCAAGGAGACCAGTTGCACTATGGGCCCTCCACTCACCCCTCCTCAATGAGCTTGTGCTGTGCTTCCTGGTAGGGATCTGTGCTTGCTGTGCCCCAGCAGCCCTCAACGCTCAGCAGGAAGCTGAGCTGGTGCTGTCCTTCTATCTCCAGCAGCACATACAGCGTATCTTTGAGGGGGACAGCCTCAGCTGGCAGGTGATAGGGCTGGAGGTAGGAGGCAGTCTTGTACAGTCTCATGCTGACATTGAAGAGTCCTTCTCTGACCTCGAACTGCGCTGGCCTGAGAAGAGGGAAGGAGATCTCACATACAGAATAAAGCAGGAAGGACATAGCACAAGTCAGGCCGGCAGCAGAGGTGCATTGACTGGGGATGTGCCTCTGACCTCAGGTGAGAGCAAGGCCCCGAGCTGCCTCTGGGCTGGTGTGTCCACACCGTGTGTGGACAGAGGCAAGGAGCTCTAGGCGTTCCCACTGACAAGCTGGCCAATGAGGGCTATGAGAAAGGCAACTAAAGAGGTCCTGACCTGCACCTTTACAGGGCCCTGGGTAGGGCATCTCCCAGTTCCCACCCTTTATTTTTTGGACAGTTGGTTTCAAGCAGTGAGGCTAGGAGAAAGGATCGTGCATGCCTCTGTGGCTCTGCCCCAGGCCCAAACCTCAAGTTGAAAAACTGTTTCAGGAAGAGCCAGGGAGGCAGCCTGATCTCAGAGCTCTCTAGTGGCTTCCCAGGGCCTTTGCAGATCACCTCATTGAAGGCATCTATTTTTCTGCAAGCTCTTTCATGTCAGCAGCGAGGTGAAGAGGGACCACTCACCTGTCAGCAGTAGTGGGACCCACGGGCAGTCTCACCACTCGTTCGTAGGCATAGTCACAGGAGAAATTCAGCTCAAGCTGAAAACTCTCAGGGATCGGCGCCCCATGTGTGTCCCACCCTGACTCCATGACATTGGAGTACGACACGTGGGAGCCGTTTTGCTGGAATGACACAGAAATCAAGTCTCTAGAATATGTTTAAGTCCATACGCAGAACCCCAAGGTCCGCTTCAGGTGGTGCAACTCAGCTGCTCCAGGCCTGGATATCTGCTGGGGTTTTGCTCAAGCCCCATGTCCAGAGGCTGCTGGCAACCATCACCAGAGCAGGCAGGAGTCAGCAGATTGACCACTGGTGATGGCAATGCAGAGCTGGAGCACTGGTTCCTTTGAACCCTCCCTGACCCGTGAATCAAGTGAGGGACCAAGGGGCTACAGCCAGGATTGCAGAGCTCAAAGGATGCTGCCAGAAAGCTGCAGGCTGTTACCCAGGTGACAGCTAGAGCTTTCTGATGGCCCCCAGTGAAGCCTTCTAAGGGCAATGAGAAATTTACAGCACACAAAGGAGAAGCTTCTGGGGCTTCCCCTTTGCTGTGCACACTCTGCACGTCTGCTCCTTCCATGGCTTCAGAGCTACTCAGAGAGGCTCTGCTGGATCCTTACCTGAATTACTGATCCACAGGTAGTGTGGTTTTCACCTGTGAGAGTGGCTGCAAAAAACAGCTCACCCCTTTCTTCCGTTTCTGAGACCTTGCATGCCTGGTTTCTCAAGTGGACAAGATGCTTAGGGATCTTCAGGAGGTCGAATGCCTCCTTCCTCACCATCATCTTCATCCGCCCTTCCTCACAGGTCAACTTCAGTACCACATCTAGGGGAAAAAGCCATCTGCAATAGCAATAGGGAAGAGGCCTGAAGGAGCCCTAGGCCAGCTATGGGGTGGCACAGTCCCACTGAGCTCAGCAGACCCTCATCCCAGCCTGGCTGGGGGCTGCTGGTGGGGCTCTTCACAGACACTGGGCAAAAGACAAACCTGTGGGAACACACAGACAGATGTTAATGTGGGTCTGTTACTTTCTCCCGGTTGCTTGAGACCTGCAAAAGTCCATGGCCACCACTACCCTGAACAGACACAGCCTTTAAAAGCTCAAGACATGAAAGACAGCTGTTGTGGGTCTGGCCCCATTCAAGGGCTGTCTACAGAATCACTGCAGCCTGCCAAGGGCACAAGGCAGAGAGAAAGATCCAATCTTGCACATGGAGACAGCTTTTGGTCAGTGTCTGGGAGAGGCTTCACTGGAGCTGTGTGCTTGTTCTGACACTGCAAGCCAGCTGTGTTCTATAGCATGCCCTCCTGCATTCTTGGCAACCAAGGAATTAAGGAATGAAGACTTTTGGAGAGGAAAGAAATGGCCTGCAACTGGGTTTTGTACCACGTGTATTCAGGACATGCTGGTGGTGACAGGCAGGAGCTAGGACATGCTCCTGAAGCCTACAATGGAGAGCAATGGTAACACCACTGCCCCATGCCCATCATCCTTCCCTCTGGTGCCCCTGGACAGACTGGTGAAGGCTCATAGCATTCCCTACCTTGGCAGAACGTCCCTGTGAAGCCCGGTCTGCAGCTGCAAACAGGTCCATTCTCCTTCAGCTGGCAGTGTGCCCGGTGCTGACATGGGTTTGGCAGGCAGGCGTTTGGGCTCCTCTTGATACGGGGGACAGCCACTCGCCAGGGGCTCGCCAGCAACCCTGCAGCAAAGGTGAGAAAGCTGAAACTCAGCAAGAACATCTCCCCTGTGAGAGACGTGAGAGCAAACTCACTCACAGCATGGAGCCCTGCACAGCTCACTAGAGCTGAGGTCCTCCTCTAGCTCCAGGGCAGACACATCTGAGGAAGCATCTGCCCCTTGGCTTGCCTGGTAGGATGTGAGTGAGAGCCTGGGAGAGCTCCTCAGTATGGCTGTAATCTGGCTCAGAACTATGGAGCCTGCCACCAGCTAGCAAGGAGAGAGGTGGCATGTCATGGCCACTGTGCCCATCTCCACAGGTTATATACTGCACATGGTGGGAATGGAGAACCTCAGATTTCTGCCTATTTTTCTGGCTCTTGCACCCCAGTTCCTGCCTCCCCTTGAATCCTGCTGTGTTATCTCCCTATAGCAGCCTCCAACAAGTGCCCTGAATGAGGAACCTGGACACAGGTCAGGTGAGGGTTTGACCTCTCCTTTCCATAGGACCCATCTGTGACCCAGCAGGTACAGTGTACAAGAAGACTCACTCTTGTTGCCTTCAAAGTCAACCAGGCAGAAGGCACAGACCAGCAGCAAGCATCTCACAGTCTTTTCCTATGAAAACAAACAAGCTGTGGGTAACTTGGTTTTAGTATGCCACTGGAGATGTTTGCAGTCATCCAGAAAGAGCCCACCCTCCAACCCTGGGTATGATAATTTCTTTACTTTATCTCCTTCAGAAACTCTCTGTTCAACAGCACAAAGTCATTTCCTACCCCAAAGGGACAGATCAGCAATGCCTGCCCTTCCTAGATTAACACAAGAGTCAAATACTGTCCTCAATTTAGGGAGCTGTTCCAGAGCAGGAGGGTGGCAGAAACCAAACCTTGGACCTGCGGGGACATGCTGGCAGTGATAAAGCAACATTTCAATAAGAATAGGCACCTTGAGAAAAACTGTGTAGCTGAGGCATCAGCCCAGGCTTCCCAGAGAGGAAAGGAGCTTCCCCTCTTCCCACTACAGCTCTTATGAAGAGTTAGGATTTGCAAAAGGATCCTCATTTTTCCAGTAACCCATATGCATAACAAGAAGACAATGGGATAAAAAACAAAAAACAAGGCTTTGAACACAACTAAAATTAATGCCACAAAGTCACAGATTGTCATCTCCCCTCGTGGTACAGATAATGCATTTCTTTAGGGAAATTCATAGCACGGTGTTGGGTGAGCCCTGGACACTGGAGTCTTCTTATCAGAGATGTGGGTAAGAGTCACCTCGGGCCGGTGGCTGGAGCAATGCAGTGCTAAAAACCCCACACCAGTCTGGCAAGCACATGGCTCACCCTCCACATGCCCCTGGAGCTCCCTCCAGGCAGGATAGTTTACTTCCCGCTCTGCTCCTTGCTCTCCACAGCAGTTCTGAGGGATCCCACCAGCATCAAGCTCCCACCTTGTTCTTACCCCACGTACCATGGCCAGGCTGCTCTGTGCTCCTCCAGACACCAGTGCTCCAGTTGCTCTCGTGCTCCTCACTCCATCCCTTATATTGCCTTCCAGCAGCTAATCCTTGCCCCCACACAAACACGCTGTCCTATGACTGCACGAGAGCCAGCTTAGCATCCTTCATCATTGGACCTTCCAAGGTCCATCCTCCAGCACCGACAGCCCTTCCTATGAGCAGATTGCTCTTGACCGCTGACCCTATTCACTGCCCTTGTGGGATCCCAAATAGGGCAGTATCCACAAAATCCCCAGGAATGTGCCGTTTTGTGCATCCAACTGCTTTGTGGTACCTGCTTTTGACGCAGCAGTAACAGCAGATACCAGAGCAGAACATTGTGAAGGCCAGATAACTGTGTACTGAACACATGTGGTTTCGCAACCAGAATGTGCAGTTGCTTTGGCTGGTTTCTTAATGACTTCTGACATTTAAGATCCGGTGAGAGATGAAGGGATGATGGTTTAGGGGCTTAGTCCTACCATGCTTTGCTTGGGAAACAGTAACAGGCTGCCAACCTGCCATCAAGGTGATGATTCTTAACTATATATTGACTATGTATGTGCTTTAATTGCTACAGTCATCACAACAAAGAGGTAAGTGTGAACATCCAACCACCCAGGTTTATTTCCTAACCACAATGAAAACCAGAAAACAGAAGTGTTTAGCACTTTACCTTGCTTACAGCCTAATGCACAACCCCTTAGAAAAAGAAGCAGAAAGAAAAGGTCTCCTGCCATCCCTGGCTGACAGGTTTTGTGCCAGAATCTCTGCTTTCCATTATGTGTCATACAAAGCATTGACAGAAGCTTGCACAGGCTCACTTAGGGAAGTGGAAGCAGCGCAGCCCAAAGGCTTAGGAAGCAACAGAGGAAGAGGATGGGGGGTGGGGGCTTTGCAGTTTTATTATTATTAAAAATTATATATGTAATAATATATATTTGTAAATAATATAATAATATAAAAATATATATAATAATATATTTAATATTATTAAAAACAACAACAACAAAAAACCCACGAAAACCCAGTGGAACTGAGTTTCAGAGCAGCTTCTTGGTCTCGGGGGAGCTGCTTGCAGAGCTGTCCCTGTGCGCAGGGTTTGGCTGCTTCCCCCTGGCAGAGGGGGCTGCAGCACCCACGGGCTGTGCACCAGGAGCTCCGACCGGCGGTGGGGAGAGCCGGGGCAGCCAAGGCGGTGTGAGCTGAGCACCTGCGGAGACCCCGCGGGCAGCCGGGCCCTGGGGAGGGCTGGTGGGCAGACCGGGGTGGTGGGAGGCCTGAGGGGGGGCGGGAGGAAGCCCCACGGTGAAGGCTGGGGTAAGCGAGGGGGAAGGCCCCGGGGGAAGCCGGGGTAGGCCGCAGGCCTCGGCCCGGCGTCTGTGCCGCCGTTGCCATAGTGCGGGTGCTGGGCAGCAGCGGTGCGGACTGGGAGCGGCAGCGGCAGAGCGGGGCCGCAGAGGCAGTGCCGAAGCCGGGGAGCAGGGCTGGGCCCTCCGTCCCCCCAACTGCAAGGTCTGTGCCTCAGATACCTGTGCGTGCCCCACGGGTCAGCCTGACCACGGAGAGCGGGAGAAAAACAGCCCCCAAGTCCTCGGGAGGATGTCAGTAACAAACAGCCCCTGTCCTTGGAGGCTGCTGAGCGCGGCGGAACGGCCCGCTTGCTTCAAGGTCCCTGCGCGGCTGGCTCGGCTCCGTGTAACCCCGCAGGCTGTGGCAGGGCCATCAGCTGGCCCCTGGAGGGTTCCAGAGCCGGCTTCCAGCTGGCAGGAGCCCAAGCGAGTCGGAGGAAGCAGCAAGGCAGGACAAGCAGGGAGTGCAGCACGACCATGCAGCATGGTGTGCTGAGCCCGGGTACCCTGGTTAGTATGGCACCCAGCAGCATGCAGCATGGTGTGCTGAGCCCGGGTCCCCTGGTTAGTATGGCACCCAGCAGCATGCAGCATGGTGTGCTGAGCCCCGGGCCCCTGGTTAGTATGGCACCCAGCAGCATGCAGCATGGTGTGCTGAGCCCGGATCCCTGGTTAGTATGGCACCCAGCAGCATGCAGCATGGTGTGCTGAGCCCGGGTCCCCTGGTTAGTGTGACACCCAGCAGCATGCAGCATGGTGTGCTGAGCCCGGGTACCCTGGTTAGTATGGCACCCAGCAGCATGCAGCATGGTGTGCTGAGCTCGGGGCCCCTGGTTAGTATGGCACCCAGCAGCATGCAGCATGGTGTGCTGAGCCCCGGGCCCCTGGTTAGTATGGCACCCAGCAGCATGCAGCATGGTGTGCTGAGCCCGGGGCCCCTGGTTAGTATGACACCCAGCAGCATGCAGCATGGTGTGCTGAGCCCGGGGCCCCTGGTTAGTATGGCACCCAGCAGCATGCAGCATGGTGTGCTGAGCCCGGGTCCCCTGGTTAGTATGGCACCCAGCAGCATGCAGCATGGTGTGCTGAGCCTGGGTCCCCTGGTTAGTATGGCACCCAGCAGCATGGAGCATGGTGTGCTGAGCCTGGGGCCCCTGGTTAGTATGGCACCCAGCAGCATGCAGCATGGTGTGCTGAGCCCGGGTACCCTGGTTAGTATGACACGCAGCAGCATGCAGCATGGTGTGCTGAGCTCGGGGCCCCTGGTTAGTATGGCACCCAGCAGCATGCAGCATGGTGTGCTGAGCCCCGGGCCCCTGGTTAGTATGGCACCCAGCAGCATGCAGCATGGTGTGCTGAGCCTGGGTCCCCTGGTTAGTATGGCACCCAGCAGCATGGAGCATGGTGTGCTGAGCCTGGGGCCCCTGGTTAGTATGGCACCCAGCAGCATGCAGCATGGTGTGCTGAGCCTGGGTCCCCTGGTTAGTATGACACCCAGCAGCATGCAGCATGGTGTGCTGAGCCTGGGTCCCCTGGTTAGTATGACACCCAGCAGCATGCAGCATGGTGTGCTGAGCCCGGGTCCCCTGGTTAGTATGGCACCCAGCAGCATGGAGCATGGTGTGCTGAGCCTGGGGCCCCTGGTTAGTATGGCACCCAGCAGCATGCAGCATGGTGTGCTGAGCCCGGGTCCCTGGTTAGTGTGACACCCAGCAGCATGCAGCATGGTGTGCTGAGCCCGGGTCCCCTGGTTATTATGACACCCAGCAGCATGCAGCATGGTGTGCTGAGCCCGGGTCCCCTAGTTAGTATGGCACCCAGCAGCATGCAGCATGGTGTGCTGAGCCCGGGTCCCTGGTTAGTGTGACACCCAGCAGCATGCAGCATGGTGTGCTGAGCACGGGTCCCCTGGTTAGTATGGCACCCAGCAGCATGCAGCATGGTGTGCTGAGCACGGGTCCCCTGGTTAGTATGACACCCAGCAGCATGCAGCATGGTGTGCTGAGCCCAGGGCCCCTGGTTAGTATGGCACCCAGCAGCATGCAGCATGGTGTGCTGAGCCCGGGTCCCCTGGTTAGTATGGCACCCAGCAGCATGCAGCATGGTGTGCTGAGCCCGGTTCCCTGGTTAGTATGGCACCCAGCAGCATGCAGCATGGTGTGCTGAGCCCAGGGCCCCTGGTTAGTATGGCACCCAGCAGCATGCAGCATGGTGTGCTGAGCCCGGGTCCCCTGGTTAGTGTGACACCCAGCAGCATGCAGCATGGTGTGCTGAGCCCAGGGCCCCTAGTTAGTATGGCACCCAGCAGCATGCAGCATGGTGTGCTGAGCCCGGGTCCCCTGGTTAGTATGGCACCCAGCAGCATGCAGCATGGTGTGCTGAGCCCGGATCCCTGGTTAGTATGGCACCCAGCAGCATGCAGCATGGTGTGCTGAGCCCGGGTCCCCTGGTTAGTGTGACACCCAGCAGCATGCAGCATGGTGTGCTGAGCCCGGGTACCCTGGTTAGTATGGCACCCAGCAGCATGCAGCATGGTGTGCTGAGCCCGGGTCCCCTGGTTAGTATGGCACCCAGCAGCATGCAGCCGCTTATTCATCAAGCCCAGTTTGACCTCAGATTCATGCTCACTCCTCACTGTTACAACTCGGCTGTGCTCACATACTAAGTGACTGTGGCCAGCACGCTAATGTTTCTGTGTTGCTGTGTATCTGGGTCCCACCCCAGAGTTTTCCGTGGTACTGTAGTTCTGCAGAGGAGGCAGAATGGACGCCCTGGAGGAGAAGGAGGAAGATGAACAAACAGTGGAAGAAAAGCTGGGGAGTTTGGCAGTCAGTGACGACCTCCAGGATGTGGAGACAAAGGTGCCTGTGGAGCAAGACTGTGTCCCAAAGCAGTAAGTCATGTGTGTCAGTTGGTTGGTGGTATTAGCATAGATGATTCCTATGGGGTCCACAGGGGGAAGGCACGTATGTGGATGGTACACGTGGGCCCTGGGCACAGGGAGGGGAGCGTGCGAGTTTCACGTGCCTGGTTTGTCTGTGCAAGAGTGGGCACATGTAAGTAAGACAAAGTGACTCACTTCACTGCACATGCATTCGCTGCTGTCATGTCACTATACAAAGATCCCCTCAGCCTCTGGGTGTATGTCAGCTTGCCATCACTCCAGAGAAGCTTGGCTATGCCAAAATCATGACAATGGATATGATCCCCTTTGTTCTTAGGGAAGAGGGAGTCCCTGCCATGTTTTGATAGCAGGTCATCTTGCCTGAATTGCTCCTGGCTTATTACCTCTTGTCTTTTTGCCGCCTCCTGCCCTGGAATTGATTTTGGCTGCAGCTCTGTCGACGTGTCCCAGTTACCGTCCTCGTATAAGACCAATTCACCCAAGGAAAAGCAGCTGCTGCACATCGCTGACCATTTCCTCCAGCAGTATATTCACCTCTGCCCTAACCGCAAGCCGCTCTTCCTCCACCCAGTCAACGAGTGTGGAGTGGAGGTATGGGGTGGTGTGGGGCTCGGGCACATGTGCTAGGCAAGGACAGCCCTTCCTTGGGAATGGGAACCCACTTGGTGTGCCCACAGCACTCTGAACAGGCACCCAGCACCCCAGGAACACCCCAGCTGTCCAAATCCACAAGTGTTGTAGCACACACATGATGGTGGTGCCCTGTGGGCTGCAGGGAGCTCACAGCCCTGCAGCTCAATGCTTTGGAAACAGGAAAGACTGTAGAAACATAAAGGAAAGTAAAAGAAACACGTGAAATAGATAAAGTTCAGACTTCACCACAGATGTGGAATCTGAATCCAGAGTTAGATCTTCCTCTGAACTTCGCAGAAGTTAGAGGGAAGGGAGGGCACATGGAAGTTTGTGTCTGGTTTTGTTTAGGATTGGATCCAAGCTTCACAACTGCTCTCAAGTTCTGTACCTGATCTGGTACAGGCATCTGGAATTGCTACTATCAATCAGCTTTCCCCAGCATTTAGTATAAATTGAAAGAGTGTGGGTTTAGATTAGACATTAGGCAGAAGTTCTTCTCTGTGAGGGTGCTGAGGCCCTGGCACAGGGTGCCCAGAGAAGCTGTGGCTGCCCCATCCCTGGCAGTGTTCAAGGCCAGGTTGGACAGGGCTTGAAGCTACCTGGTCTAGTGGAAGGTGTCCCTGCCTGTGGCAGGGAACTGGAACTGGATGAGCTTTAAGCATCCTTCCAACCCAAGCCGTTCTATGATTCTACGATTAACATGCTAGGCAAAAAATGCTGGATGTTGTGAAAAGCTGGAAAGGGCAATAGCTGTCTTGCTTGAAAACTAAGAGCAGAACTGGCTCACACCTGTAATGTATCTGGGCTGAGCTTGAGTTTTTAGGCAACTGACAAGCAGATGGTCTCTCAACCTGTACAATTTCCATCTTGGAACTGGTGAGGAGGGTTTCTGATGCTGTTGATATGCTGTAAGGAGGTCCTGAACGTGAGCTGTCACATCCAGGGATGTTCTGAGGATGGCTTTGGACAAGAGACTCTCTCAGGCATCTGTTGGGTGACCAAAGTCCTCTTGTTGCCCTACAGAAGTTTGTGAGCACAACGGTGAGGCCAACCCTGCTGCCTTATACGGAGCTGTATGACTGGGATGGCTGTGCCAGCTTCGTCTCAGATTACCTCGTCATGGAGCCCCTCGAGTGCCCTATCACTCTGGTAAGAAAGGGGCTGCAGTCGCATCAGAAACAGCCACATAATGGAGGTGCCAGAGGGACACAATGTGCCAGAGGTGGCAGGACACAATGTAGAAACCCCAGTGGCTTGGATTACAAAGGCCTCTGGCCTCTCCTTCATCCCCTCATTACTTAGGCAATCCCCTGATCTTTCCAGGCCCTGCACACTCTGAACCTGTAATCCCAGTACATGTGCAGTGTGGTACCTGTCCAGGAGTTAAGCACCATTTCAGCAAGATGGGGCCTGACCCTGCTCCCAGTCATCCCATATGACCAGCTCTCCACTGTGGGTTACAATGGTGATGAGATTCCCCTCAAAGACCAAAACACCTTGGAACAAAGGAGTGTATGAAGCCTAGGGGATGATGTTTGAACTCTGTGACCTGTTCTTAGGGGCGCTAGACACTTCTATCCATGTTTTGGGGATATTTTGCAGTGGCTGAAGGGAGATTTCTCAACTGGCAAGACGGAATGATGCCAAAATTTGGGCAAGTTCTTGGCTGGTGTGAATTTAGCTTATGAGTCTTGCTTTAAAACATTGCAGACAGACCAGCTAGAGGTGGAAGATAAGCCCTTCTCCAGAGTTGTGTTTAGCATTAAATTTTCAGCAGTTGGATGAGCTTGTCCTGCCTATCTCTCCCTATGGTTAAATTTGTCACCAGATTTGGGTCAGAATTTTCCCAGCCACCTTGGAGAGGACTTCTGGGGTCTGTGGCTGTCATGTTAGAAGGGTATTTCCTCAAAGCCTTTGATCATCCTGTCAGTGTCCCTTGTGTCCGACCAACCTGTCTGCATCCCTTTGTGCACCCTTTACCTTGCAGGTCCCCTTACACTGTGCCGTGCTTAGGGTCACACAGGTGTTAAGGTGCCATTTGTGGTTCGATAGATGATTACTGATTTCCTTTAGAACCATGAGGTTCTAAATCACCCAGGTTGGAAAAGTCCATTAAGATCAAGTCCAACCCTTCCCCAGCACTGCCAAGGCCACCTCTGAACCATGTCACTAAGGGCCTTGTCTGCACAGTTTATGAACAGTTCCAGGGATGGTGATTGCACCATCAGTACTCCAGCAGCACCAGGTAAGATTCTGAAGCTCTCTCTTGTCAGTTAAATTAAACAAAACAACAGACTCTTAAGATACTCTGTGTAAAGAAGTCATCCTTCATGTCTCCCTGATCCACCAATTTAATATTGGTAGTTGATGCTCTTGCATGGTAAATGGTCGTTGGAGCAGGCATAGTTGGGTCGGGTTTGACAATATCTATTTTGAACATAAATGTTAGTTCTGCACTACAGTGAGCCCAGATGCAAACACAGAAACAACAAAAAAAAATTAACCGAGGTGGCTGCTATACCAACAGTCCAGTAATTCAGAGGCACACAGTTTCATATCTTTGCTCTTGGGGCTGATGTACTGTTGGACAGTGTGATTTGAGTGGCTTTCTTGTGTGCAGATCGTTGGTCATTCTACATCCGGTTTGGATTTCTTCTCTTGATTGTCCCCGCCAAGAGGGAAACCCAATTTTCTCTATCCCAGCCCCACTCATGTTTTGAATATAAGTCAAATAATTTTCCCACAGTGGCTTATATATAGGAATTTTATGTAACAGATTCTCTATGGGTGCAGAACCCAGGGATATGGGCAATGCCCTCTTACCTCTCCTGCTTTCTGCCTGGTGTATGTTTCAGCTTCACAAGACAAGCACTGCAGACATGTATCTCTCTCTTTCAAGCCCAGTTCACTTTATTCCCCAACCACCACCCTGAAACACCAGCGAGGGAACTGCTTTGACTTCAGTGTGCTGCTGTGCTCCATGCTGATTGGGGCCGGGTATGATGCCTACTGCGTGCAGGGCTATGCCATCCTTGAGATATGCACCCTGGATGAGACGCAGGAGCTGTGCCCACTGCTCAGGAAGCCGCCGGAGGTGAGACCTGCAGGGGGGGCCCAGCATGCATGCCTAGCCTCTTCATTTCCAGTGAGCTCCAGAGGTGAGCTAAGAGGAACAGCTTCAGGCCCACAGTGGGTTTCAGTCTGTACCAAACAGGGACCTCACCAAATGAATCTTTTGAGTGAGTTTCTACAGTTCCTTAAGAGGCTTCTTTGACTTCACTGAATTCCTGCTCACTAGGGCCAGTATTGCAAATGGCCAAGGGCTGGGAATTGAGAGGTACCTGTAAGCCAGGTTGATCTCTGTTGAGTTTCACAGCAATACCCTGCTTTTGTAGACACAGGTACCAAAAGAGAAGATGAAGAAAAAGTATAGAATTAAGCCCTTACGAGACATGCAGAGCAAGTTTGAGCTTCAGCAGGAGGCCAAGAAGGCAGCAGCAACTGAAGCTTCTCAGAAGGACAAGGAAAGAGACAAGGTGAGCAAAAAAGGTCCACCTCACTGTAAACTTCAGGGTCAAGAGATGAGATACAGAGGATGGCTGACCAAGGAAAATAGCTCAATGGCCTCCTCTGTGAAGTATGACACAATCCTGAGCATGGAGATGAGCACTTGGCCTCTGCGAACACAGCGTGTGCTGGGATAGCTGTATGTACTGAGCATGTGCTACCTCACTCTTCAGAAAAGTGTTAAGTCCCTGGAGACCTTTAGAATTGGTCAGAGGAGAGAATAAGATTGCCATTGGGTTAGACTAAGTAGCAATAAAATGGCAGTAATTACTGTTCTGTCCTCTGTGATACAGGAAGCAGGAAAGCCAAAGCATGAACCTTTGCATGGCTTGCGGGTGCATGCATGGGTTTTGGTTCTGTCTGGGAAGAGGCAGGTTCCTGAGACCTTCTTCATCAACCCCTTCACGGGAAACAGGCATAACACCACAGATAAACGCTTCCTTGGGATTGAGAGCGTCTGGAACCACAGGAACTACTGGGTGAATATGCAGGACTGCAGGCACGGCTGCAAGGTAATGAGCCCTTTAGCACCCCATGCCTGGGAGGGACAGTTGAGCTAACCAGAGTCCTGGGGAAGTCCAAGATCAGTTGTGATCCCAGTTCCACTTAACCATTCCTTGTGTTGGCTCTGGTCATGTTGCTGTGATGACATAGACTCTGAACTACTCCAGGACATTCCAGACCCCAAGCTAGCAAACACAGATCATACCTATTAAACCCCTAGAGTGCTAGAATGTCAGCTTTTAAGGCTGGATGGATGCTCATTCTCCCAAACAACAGCTTTTAAGGCAAAGGATGTTTTGAGCCCATCAGGAAAGATCTTGATTAGGCTCTTCCCACACCTCAGCTACTCCCCAGCTGATATAAAGTCTACCAGCCAAGAGTCTGATTTAGAGCAACTTGACTCTGGGGCTATACGTGCCCAAGGGAAGAAGGCAGAGATTCATGTGTGGCAGAGGCATCATGAGGAAAGGGGTCTGCAGTCCTTTGCAGGTCCCTGCAGGACCACAGGGGCAGTCTTTGGGGTCCCACCAGCCAGCGATGGGTCTGACACCGACCTCAGTGAGATGCAGGGTCTGTCCTTTATAACTCTCAGGGTTATAAAGGTCTGTCCTTTATAACCTGACAGCCAGCCAGGTCCAGAGCACTGCAGGCGGGCAGAGGCAGCCTTCAGTTCAGTGCCCTTGTAGCTAAATGGGTTTCCTCTGTATGGCCTAGGATCTCATCTTTGACTTGCGTGACGCTACCTGCTGGGAAATCATGCTTTCAGAGAGCAACCATCTTCAGCTGCTCCCTAAGGAGAAAGAAGAGTTATTTGACAGTGACACAGTGAGTGACTCAAATGGCTCTTGTGCAGTGGGGATGCTTTGTTTAACTGGTATGCTCATAGGCCCACGTATGTCTGCCTGCCTGCTGCCCCCTCCAGGTTAAGTCACTTATTACTCCAGCTGGGTTTTATTTGGCACTTTTAATTCCTTCTCAATCTTGAAGAGTTCTAATGCTTTTTGAAGCAGGACTTCACGTGGTACTTCTGGTGTCCTCAGTGGCTCTGCATCTCTGTAGGCCTCCAGTGCATTGACCTTTGGGATGAAATCAGTAAAAGAAATAAAGTCAAACCAGACATTTTCCTGGACATATTTGCCCTGCTGGTCAGCACCCAGCCCTCCAGGCTGCTAGGTGGAGCTGCCAACCAAGTGTAGAAACAATGTATGTATGTACTCTAACATAAAAAAAGTGCTGGGTACTGGAAGCATGGTATGCTGTCCAGTTGGGAGAACACAGCATGATAAAACAAGCACTGCACCAGCATGGCAGGACAGAGGAACACCAATAAAAGCATGTTCCCTCCTGTTATCTGGCCTTCTCAGACTGTGCCCACAACCACAGAGCAAAGTGTCCTCCACAATCTACATAATACTGGTCATCAGTTTGAATGCTGAGTATCCTGTTCATCCTCTGTCCAGCAGGAACATTAGCCAGCAGAAGATAATTACATTAGCCTAGAGTAGGGATGTGCTACTGAGAGTGTGGGGATGCGGTAAAGCTCTCCTTCCACATAAATGTAGTGTGCTGCTTGCCTCTGTCCTTGGGCTATGTGTGACCAACACAGCTCTTACAGCTGTGCCACAGTGTGCCTGAGCTGAGTCTGAGCTCTGGGCACTGCACCAAAAGGTCTCCTGGCACAGTAAGTGAGGGTGCCAGAAATGCAAACCTCTTTTTCTGTGTCATCAGGTGAGAGAGAAGAGAATGAGTTTTGACATGCCACCATCGTGGGTAGTCCCAATTCGGATATCTCCCAGACGTATGTATTCTTTTGCATATTGCGTTGCCCCCAGGTACCCTTTTAGTGGATTTGGGATATTTGTTTGGCTCAAGAGTTCTCCCTTCAGGATGGACAAGATACAGCAGTGAAGTGCAGCAGATGGAGGCAGCAACAGCCATTAGGTTGAATGCTTGCCCTCGGTGCACTGTCTCATGCTGGGTGGGAACCCTCCCAGAACTCCCCTCGCACAGACACACAGTGTTGTCCTGCCAGATAAAAATCATCCCAGTTTTGCCTGGGATAGACTTTCTGTTCCAGTTATGCCCCTGCACTATCAAATAACTGCTTTGGGAGAGAAATGAGTTATTATACTATTACATCTTCAAGGCAGGATCTGAGCAGCTTTGCTGGCAGCTGAATGTGATCAATACGTGCATGGCTTCCCTTAGACTGTGGCTTGCTCCCTCTTGAATTCTTTTTCCTTGGGCTGAATACAAGGGAGTAAATCTTTATGACACCTCTATCTCCCACTGCAGAGTTTGAGATGCGCTATTACCAGGGGAAGAAGACGACTCTGTACAGCAAAGCAAAACTGAAGAAATGGGCACCATACCTGAATGGCAATGGGCTGGTGCAGCGCCTCACCATCTATGCAGGGCCAGACTGTAAGAGGGATGGGTCAGCAACTGAGCAGACATAACCGGGTTCTGTTGGTGGGAAGGGGTAGGATGTCCCCTTTCTGCCAGGGTCTCTCTTGTGCTTTCCCATCCTCCTTTTGCATTCAGGGGGAACTGTCTACCGCATTTTCAAATGCTTCATCAGGCTGTCTGTCAAGCCCCAGAACTCTTCAGCATTGCTAGGGGGTCCTGTGAGGATTTTGAGTCTGTTTTACGGCCCATTGGTGAGGCTGTGCAGTGCCACAGGTCAGCTGCTTGGATTTTCAGTCTTCAGAGAAATTGAAGTCTGGTTTGATGTGATCCGGTAGTATCACTATTCCCACTGGTGCTGATGGAAGCCATAGAAATATCCAGACTGTGCCCTTTCTGTGGCACAGAATGGGAAATACCCAGACTGTGGATATTTCTGTACTCAGAAGCATTATTCTTTGGTCCAAGAAACAGTGTAGATTCCTAATTGGACATCCAGTGTCCTGTCCTCAGTCCTTCTGGATAGTGTAATGTCCCCATCTCATTTTCCTTAACTCCTGACACTATCATAAAGTATTTGGGATGGAATTTCTCTTGCCTAAATGTAGCCATGTGCCATGCCAGCTTCTCCCCCTGAGCTGACTACTTTACTTCTTGTTGATGGAGAGGAATAATCTCTCCTAAGGTATAATTTATCTACTCAAATGTAGCTTAGCATTCATCTACAAAATGCCCCTGTGCACAGAGCCAGTTCCAGCAACTGTACTGCATCAGGAGCACAGGGTGCTTGCACAGACACTGAATGTGAATCTTACCACCTCCAACAGGGTGATGTGGAGTTGTGAAATGCTTTGTCTCCTGCCAGATACTGATGCAGTGGAGGTGAGAGAGTGGTTTGAAAACCGAGAAGACATCCTGGTTAGGAGAGAAGTGAATAAACAAACACAGCTGACCACAGACTACTTCAGCAAGGGACATTCTCTCTGTCTTAAAGGTATTCAGGTTATCTGGTAGCCACTGCAGCTGGTAGGACTCTGTGTGGATCCTTTCAGCAGTGGCAAAAGCCCAATGGTGGGGATGCTGAAAACTTGTGGGATGAATTGCCTAGAGAAATAGTATGGTCTCCAGTAGAGAGTAGAGAATTGGATTGTTGGCTTACAGTCCTGGAGAGTGCTCCCCCCAGCATAACAGGAGAAAAATACATACCTACCATATATGTGGTGATCTAATTTACCAGCAGAGGTGATAGAAGTAGAAACTTTCTCCTTAGGATTATAGAATCACAGACTGGTTTGGGTTGGAAGGGACCTTAAAGCTTGTCCAGTTCCAACCCCCTCCACGGACAGGGACACCTTCCACTAGAGCAGGCTGCTCCAAGCCCTGTCCAACCTGGCCTTGAACACTGACAGGGATAGGGCAGCCACAGCTTCTCTGGGCAACCTGTGCCAGAGCCTCAGCACCTGCACAGGGAAGAACTTCTGCCTAAGGTCTTGGTTCAATCTCCCATCTGTCAAGGTAAAGCCATTCCCCCTTGTCCTGTCCTAACAGGCCCTTGTCAAAAGCCAGTTTCCATGTAAAAAGTCCCTCTTTTGGTCTGTCAGTGTTGTGCAGCTGGGGGAGAGAAAGTCCTGCATCAGATCTGTTGCTTAAACAGCATTTCACTCAGAGGCTGTGCCCATTCCTGATTTGGAAAAAGCAGGGTCCAGGCTCCACTCACTGCTGCATTACTGTGTAAGGAAGGCAGTGACTCTGCAAAGTCATCCTGCATGTTGGTACACAACAGTGAGATTACATTTCCTTCTTACACTCTTGGGTGCATTTGATTTATTGGCTGCTGAAGAAAACGAGACTTCCTCTGGACACACTCATATTCACGGTATCATAGCTGCTAATGTCTCTTACATCCTCAGCTCACACCTATAAGTTGCTGGAGCCCAAGACTGGACATACAATGGAGTTTTACAGTGAGGCACGAGTTGATGGCCTCCAGAAGCGTGTTGAAACCGCTACTGAGATGACAGAGTACTTCATGGGACGGGATGACTTTCTTTATCTCCGGCATGTTGACTTTGGCAAGCAAGGAGAGGAAACACAGAGAACTGACATGAACTCCAAGCCTATCATGGTACGGTCAAGGCAGGAACAGAAGAATATCTGTTATAGTTGATATTTATACTGTGCAGAACATACTGCTTAGAGCTCTAGGTTCATTTTCAGTGGACACAGCCAAGGCAAAGCTCCAGATGAGGTATCCGAGCCTTGCTCAGCTGTTGCGTCTCATGGTTGGTTGCCTGACAGAGAGCTACAGTGTGACCAGTTGTCACCAACTGCATTGAGCAGCTAGAATGAAACTGGGAAACTAAGACTTGGAAAATGTGTGTCAGAAGGAAGGTAAAAAAGCTTGACTATGATACTGGAATGAGATTTTCACAGGACTCAAAAACTACTAAAATGATCTCATGTTCTGACCCCAAACTAATAACATTTTAGGTTAAGCAGCTTTGTGCTATTTTCCTCTGGCACAGGAAAGAACAGTAGGACTATGGGCCAAGAGATGCCATTGTAATCCAGGCAGAAAAGCCCAATTTTTCCCTTGGGCTTTTACCCAACTCTGCAAATCTTCCCATTTTTTTTTTTTTTTTTTGTCTAATCTGCTTCTGTCTCTCTTTTTTCACTTCCTTTAGCAAATCAAGGAGTGTTTTCACAGAAACCCAGAAAAGCCTGCTGATGAAGATGTCGCAGAATGTATCTTTCTGATCACAGAGGAGGACATCCATCTGACATACCACCTCAAAGATAAATACATTACTGCCTCAAAGAAGCTTTTCCACAAACTGCCAGAGAGGGCTAGTGAAGAACATGAAGTCTTCATGAGCCTAGAAGCATGCACCACATACCAGGTATGAAGGAAAACTACTCATATCAAAGTTTTTCTAGAGCATAAGACACAAAGGGAAAGTGAAATGTCAGTGGAAGAACTCCAAGCATGCCTTATTCCATGCTGCCCTCTGCTCTGTGTGCACACCTCCCTCACAGACAGCCTCTGTGCTGACAGCATAAATGCCCCTGGAGATGCACTGCCATGCTGGAATGTAGGACATACTGTAGCATGAAAGGCTTGCTGTGGCCATGCCTGAGGTCATCTTCCTAGACCTGGTCATCAGGCAGCACAGGCACTGGGATCTTTCAAGGTGCTGGTTCAGCAGCTGTTGCGCTCAGTTCTGTGGATTCATGGCAGGGAAGCCAAAATTTCCTCTGCTGCTCTCTCTTGAAGAAGAGGTACAGCAGAGGAGCAGAGGCAGGCATCCCAGGCATCCCATCCATTTCTGCCATGGACTTCTTGGTTCATTTTGTTGCTTATATCTTACAAAGCTTACCCTGCAGATGCAGAACAAGTTGCTAAAGCTTAATGTGTTGCTAATAGATATGTAGATAGATGATTGATTGATTGATTGATAGATAGATAGCCTTCAATAAAAGATGTTCTGAAATAAGTGGAGCGCTGTCGTCAAGCCAAATTCATTTCGGGGGGAGTGTCACTCCACTGACATCATTGATGTGAGTCTGTAACCATAAATTCTGCAGTGACGCTGCACAAATATACTTAGGAAAATCAAAGAGAGATTAAAAATACAGGATTTTTTAATGTTAAGCAAGTTTTCTTAAAGTTTCTGTTTCTCACTGGGGAGCATAAACAGGGCACGAATGCCATACTTTCATCTCTAATCCTGCAAAACTGGTTCCAACTATATAAAAAGTGCAAGATGTGCCATCTGCCTCACATTACTGATGGATTCAAAATCAAAATGAAGTCTAATAAGTGTTCTCTATGGGTTAGATATTTCAGTGATGGAAGTCAGTGTCACTATCGTGATTGTAGCAGAGTTGTGCCAATTTCTGATAGCAGAATATCTGGTCCCATGCACCCAGAGAGTGCTACTGGCCTTCACTAGTTCATCTGCTTCCAGGCAGGGTCCTTTGAGAAAGGCAAGAGTTTGTTCCATCTGTACAACTTGTTGAAGGAGCTGACAGCAAAAGAGAAGTGGGTGAAAGAAGAAGTCCGGCAATCTGAAGCAGAGGTAACAGGGGAGGTGCCCACACTGGGTCAGAGTTGGTCAGGCATGGGAATCATAGAATAGTTTGGGTTGGAAAGGACCTTAAAATCACCCAGTTCCAACACCCTGCCACAGGCAGGGACACCTTCCACCAGAGCAGCTTGCTCCAAGCCTTGAACACTGCCAGGGATGGGGCAGCCACAGCTTCTCTGGGCACCCTGTGCCAGCGCCTCAGCACCCTCACAGGGAAGAACTTCTTCCTTGGATCTAACCTGAGCTTGTCCTGTTTATGTTTGAACCTACTCCCCTTGTCCTATCACTACAGTCCCTGATGAAGAGTGCCTCTTCAGCATCCAAATAATTTGAGCTGATTGGTTGCCAAAGTATTCTCAACATAAACTGTGGTAAAAATAAAACTGGTGCCACAGAGCTGATCTCCATGCTGAATTCTTGAGCTTGCAGCCCATCCATTGTTCAGTAAAGATGTAGCTTTAATGTATTTATGGAGAGTCACACAGTTTCCACTTCCTGCTTTTACTCTTCATTCTCTGAAAGACAGTTTCAGGGAGCAAATGACCGTGTATGAATTGGGGCATCTGGAAACATACCTGCCTTTTGCCTGAGAATGAGACCAAAAAGAAAGGATACTGTATATTATATATCTGGTTACTAGGCATTTCCAGGAAGTCCTAATCAAAACATTGAAGTAACTTTTTGTGAGAGCAGCTGTAGGGAAATACTTCATAAAATACATTGCTTGTACTGCTAATCACACTGTGACCCTGTAACAAATCCATGTTCTTTGTACTTGTACTTCATGTAGTACTTCTAGTACTTCATGCTAAATACAACCATTCTAGTAGATGGAGGAAAAGCTGCTGGATATTTGTAAATGTTTTGCTTAGGAAGAGGAGCCCCTGAAGGAGCTGGAGAAGTACTCAGTTCTATTAGCCCAGAATACTAGTAATAATTAAGAACAAGATTGCAGAAGTCTTTCTTTTTTTTTTCTCCAGAAATTTGAAGTTTGTTCCCTGTGACCTCATGAATACCTTGCCAAATTTCTCTCTCTTGATGTACCAACAGACAAAATATTCATGTTGTTTGTGCTGTATATCCTGTTGAGACAAAGAATAAGACAAAGCTATCTGCAATTTCAGAAGTAGTTGCAAGACCATGACTTCAGAAGAGCTTTGTTAACACGTAATATCAATAATAGTGTTCAAGAATTTAATACAGAGCAGCAACCTAAATATAAAAACACTGTTGGCTTGACCTGTCAGCAGAATATGAATAGATCTCCTGTATTTAATCCTGTGCTGCATTTCTTGTACACAGCATCTGCTTGGCTAGCAGGTCAAGCATGTAAAAGTGCTATTGTTTTGTAAGAAAGCTGAGGGCTCTTTCTTTGATTTTTGGAAGGTGTTAACTATTTTGAAGATCCGTCAGACTGAAGAAGCCAATATTAAATTATCAGTTCCAATTTATAATAGAGAGAGGAACAAAGAAAGAAGACGACAGCAGGAAGCCATGGTAGGTCAACTTCATTAATCCCAGTATTTCTTACATGTACGCAAGTAAATCTAGAGAAAGCTTTTTCTGTCTGAGAACTGCCTCTGAGGAGCTGTTAGTACCATTAAAATACTTGGGCTGATCCCCTAGCAGGTTAGCACAACTTCAGCTGAGTTCCCATTAAAACAGCATAATCATGCTTTGAAGTTCTGGAAAAATTTGCATCACCAAGACAGATTGTTGTTTTACTTTGTTTAATTGATAAAATAATGAACAAGTATTAGCTGAGAATAGGGATTATAGCAGGGAGTATAAGAATGGATTCCAAGGTGCATCTTTCTAGCCAGGTTCATCTTGTTAGGCAAACACGCACTTCTTTGTGTGACAAGAATCAGTTGGTTTCTTGGGTTTCATTCTTACTTGCACATCCAGTTTTGTTGCAGGACCTCTGTTGAGGAATTAGGAACTCAGAAACGTTCTGGACAAATACAGAAATAATAATTACTTTCAGCTTTTCCTAGATCTCCAGGATGCTTCTTGTGAATGGTGTTTAGACTGAACAGAGAGGTTATAAAAGGTGGTACTAAATTTTACATGCTAAACTTCTGCCCCAAACAGGGGCAAAGATGCAAGAACCAGGTACTCACCAGCCTATAAACTTGTGTCAAAACACCCTGTCCTAATGTCTTCCTGTCCTAAAACAAAGAGATTTCATAGATCCCTTCTTGCACTTCAGTGGATTACACATTTTGCGTAAGAGACGTCTTTAAAATCAAGGAAATGAGGAGAAGTGTTAAAAAGGATGATTGAAAAGAAACTACAGAATAAAAACCACACTGGGAAAGAGTTGATATGCAAAGCTAATGCAAAGCAGTAATTTTAATCAAACTAAGAAAAAGAAATATTATTTCCTTCCAGGGGTGGCCACAGGGGGAGGAGTTTTGGCTTTTGTTTTGATTTATCATGGGGTGTTTGGGGAAGTAGGTAAATGGGACCATGGCTCTTTCTGTCCTTTCCCCTCTAGGAGAGCACCGTGAAAGATGAGCTCCTTGGGCAGAAGAAACAGGACCTGCATTACCTAGCACCTTTCCTTATTCGCAATGGCTGCACAGATAAGCTGAACAAGGTGCAAGCCCTGCGTGCCAGAGATGACTGCCTGACTGATTTTAAGCATCATCTCACTTACAGAATCAACCTCATCCAGGCTCACCTTGAAAAGGTATTCCCAGTCTTGTTCCAGGATGTGCATGCTTTTGGAGTCTTTTCTGCACTGGCAGAAGGGAAACACGCATCTGATTGTGACAGCAGGCAAGAAACAAACCTCCTTTGATTAAAGAGCCATAAACATGCCTAGTTTTATTTTTTTACTTTTTTTGTTGTTGTTGCTGTTGTTAGCATCTGAGATCAAAGAACAAAATAGTCCCAGGGTGAAAGTCCCTATCTCAGAGCTAATTTAGGTGCCCAGTGCTTCTTCACTACAGGGAGGCAACACATTGAGGTTTTGCTGCCTCTTGCTGTTCTACGTTTTGATGTCTCTCATTGTGTTGTTCGGTGAGACCTCATCTCAAACTTACTGCCGTCCATGAAAGTAACCCAGCTCCAGTCTGTGGTTTCCTTCTTCTCAGCTCCCTGAACTTTGAGTTGCACTTCTGTGTCTTTGCTCCTTGCTCTCCATTACCCTGACTCATGGTTGCTTGCTCCCCCAACAGGCGGTGGAGGAGCTGCAAAAGAGACACCTGTGGTTTCAGGAAAACAAGAACCAGCTCAGCACGAAGGAGAAGGATGACTACCTCTCTAGTTGCTCTGAATCCATGTTCCATATCAACGTTCTAGAGCAGAGGCTCAACAGGTAACTGGACTGCCTAAGTAGTGCCCAGGGGAGGTCTACAAGTCAGCCCCCAGGAACTGAGGAGATTTTAGAATCATAGAATCATAGAACAGTTAGGGTTGGAAAGGATTTTAAGATCATCAAGTTCCAACCCTCCTGCCATGGGCAGGGACACCTCACGCTAAACCATGTCACCCAAGGCTCTGTCCAACCTGGCCTTGAACACCACCAGGGATGGAGCATTCACAACTTCCTTGGGCAACCCATTCCAGTGCCTTACCACCCTCACAGTAAAGAACTTCTTCTTGTACCCAATCTAAACTTTCCCTGTTTAAGTTTTAACCCACTGCCCCTTGTCCTATCACTACAGTCCCTAATAAAGAGTCCATCCCCAGCATCCCTATAGGCCCCCTTCAGATACTGGAAGGCTGCTGTGAGGTCTCCACGCAGCCTTCTCTTCTCCAGGCTGAACAGCCCCAACTTTCTCAGCCTGTCTTCATACAGGAGGTGCTCCAGCCCCTGATCATCCTCGTGGCCTCCTCTGGACTTGTTCCAACAGTTCCATGTCCTTTTTATGTTGAGGACACCAGAACTGTACACAATACTCCAAGTGAGGTCTCACTGAGAGCAGAATAAAGGGGCAGGATCACCTCCTTCGACCTGCTGGTCACACTCCTTTTGATGCAGCCCAGGATACGGTTGCTTTCTGGGCTGCAAGCACACACTGAAGCCGGCTCATGTTCGTTTTCTCATTGACCAACACCCCCAAGTCCTTCTCCTCAGGGCTGCTCTGAATCTCTTCTCTGCCCAGCCTGTAGCTGTGCCTGGGATTGCTCCGACCCAGGTGTAGGACCTTGCACTTGTCATGGTTAAACTTCATGAGGTTGGCATCAGCCCACCTCACAAGCGTGTCAAGGTCCCTCTGGATGGCATTCCTTCCCTCCAGCGGATCAACCGAACCACACAGCTTGGTGTCATTGGCAAACAATACCCTACTCAATGTCCTGCTGCAGTTTTTCTCTGATATCCCCCTTCTTGTTCTAGAGAAAAGCAGATGGCACCACAGAAATACCTTGCTCTAAAAGATAAGTTGTGCATGGATCCTCACCTAGCAGAGCACCTCGGTTACATCTGATTTCCTTATTCCTTCACACATCAGACACTGGGAATCCGTGTAGAAGCCTGAGAGGAGCAGCCTGGAAAAACAGTGTGGAAAGGTCTTCCTACATGGCAGTAGTAAATCTTTTGTTATTATCAGATTGTTGGAGATTTTAATAAACTTGTTGCATTCCCCTATCTTTTTATTTTCCTTCTTTTTTTTTAAGGCCCATCTACACTTGCATTGGTTGTCTGTAATTTCATTATGCTTGTGATCCCACATCTGAGTGAGACCTCACCTTTAAGGTCTGCTTCAGAAGTGACTACAAATTATGCACACTGTATTGCAGGACTCCTCCAAACCTACTCCCTAGCTGCTGACAAGAGGAGGAGGATTATTTGGTAATACTGATTCTTTTCCAACAAAATAACATTTTTTGCAAATTTCTAATTCTGTAATTTGGTTTTGTAAGTAGCACAAGCAAAGATCTTGAACTTGTAAGATCACAACAAATGCAACAAGTCTTTGACCATTGAGAGGTCAGGCTTTGGATTTTAACATCTTTGTTTTTCTCTTTGAATGTCTCCACTCACAAATATTGGCAGACAGGATAAAAAGTCAGGAGTAAATCCAAAAGCATTCCCAATTGAATAAATTTTAGATAATCAAGTATTTTGGTTAATTCCCCAAGATCCACAAACAGAAGTCACTATGTTTGGCATTTACTGGTATTTATGTGAGTCCCTGAACCTGGTAGGAGACAATCCCTGATGTACTCTGTAGTATATTGAGCACTATAGACACCCACGAGGGTTACACCTACAGGTCCAGTCCCTCTAAGGGTCATCTTCAGTGAAGACTATACTGATTGCAGCTGAGGAAGGCAGAAGCTCACTTTCCTGTGATACCTGAGAGAAAGGGACATCACACCTGAAATAAGGCATATACTAGAGCAGGCTGAACTTCTTGGTTTATGTTAGCTGTCCATTTTAATGTAATAGATATACAAGAGAGCTTTTACAGAGAAACATCCACCCCAACTGCCTGTCTTATTGCAAGAGTCATTTCTCTCCTGTGTTGTCTGTTATGTTTTTAAGAGATGAACACAGTGTTAAGACCAGAAGCCACTACAGCTCATTATGCCTATGCAGCTAATGGGCTGTAGTGTTTGGCACCCACCACAGCAAATGCCCAGGTCTGCTCAGGCCTCCCAGCTCCCAGTTTTGGAGCTGTGAGGTGTTTCATGGCAGCATGTTGTGTTCCAAGCCATCTGACAGCATCACCATTTCTGACAGCTCTGCACCGCTCCATGAGCGCTCGGCTGGCAGGGCAACCTAGGGCAGATACAAACAGGCCAGGGAAGGAGACTGCACACAGTTTCCTCCTGCAGATAAAGAGGGATTCAGATAGGAGGGGTTCAGATAAGGATGCCCTTCTGAAAAGGATCATCAAGGATTTCAGGAAAGCCAAAAAATGTCCAAATCAGAACTGTGAACTGGTGAAGGACGAAGGGACCTCGGAGAACTGGGGAAAAGGGAAACCCTAAGGTCTCTAAACAAAAAGGAAAGGGAGAAAGGGGAGGAAGAAAGGGAGGGCAAGGGCAGTAAAAAGCAGGGGGTGAAGGATAAAAAGGGGGCAGAAAAGGGGGGAGGAAAGAGAACGGGGGAAAAATGGGGAGAGGGAAAGGGATGGGTGAGAAGATGGAAAGAAAAAGGAGCAAGCAAGCCTGTGGTTATGAACTCATTGGTGTTAGTTTAAACACCAGAATAAATTCATTTAGAATCCTTTTACAGCCACCAGAGACATAGCTGCTGCCAAAAATCAGTTAATGCATACTATCAAGGACTCGCATCAAAATAATTTTAGTAACTGGCTTGAGAGACAAGAAGGGAAGCATGGAAGTGCATGACTGCACCCCTGCCAGGCTGAAAGCACCCAGCACGGCTGCCCCAGGAGGAAAACCCACCCGAGGCTCCGGCGGGCGTGACTCTACGTGCAGCAAGAGTCAGAGGAGCTGGTGCCAACATTACCTGGCAAACAGCCCCAGAGAGAACGGACCCCGGAGCTCAGCTCCCGCCAGGGCCGTGCCAGTGACATCCGGCGAGGGGAACCGCCTCCTAGGGACACACACACTGGCCACAGCCATAAAGCACAACCACCGGCGAGCCCTGAGGTAGAGGGGCCGGGGAAGGATCTCTGGCCAGCCCCTCCGCAAGCGCCGGGGCTAAGGGACCGCTGCAACTCCCCCGACGGCCGAGGCGCGGCAGCACTCACCCAGCTCCCCTCAGGGGAACCTCAAAATGGCGGCCCCACAGAACCAGTGCGCCGCCGTGCCTCATTGGCAGAGCTTAAAAGGCTTCGCCAAGAAACTGTGCTGGGATTGGTCATCTACTTTGCTGTTGCTATAGCAACCACCCTTCCCTCAGCTCCTATTGGTGGAGCTGCGTGCGGAAACTTGGCAACGGCGCTGCGAGGCCGTGGCTCGCGCCCCTCCCCTGCACTCTCCGCCGCCGCGGCGGGGCCTTCCCGCCGCTGGGCCCAGCGCACCGGGGCCTCCCCGACTCCTGCCGGTGCCTTTGTTTGGCCTCCAGACGGCCAGGACAGCACGGGCGCATGGCCAGGCCGCGATAGGAGGCGGTGGCAGAGAGGCGATCCGGGTGGGCGGGGGACCCTCGCCGGTCGGAGGAAGGCCCATCGGAGCGGCCTCGCCGAGCAGAGTCATGGCCGAGGCCGTCGCCACTAAGACGGCGTGGAAGCTGCGTGAGTGTGGCCGGGTGCCCGCCCGAGGGAGGGCGGGGAGGCTGCCCCAGCTGGAAAGGGTGTGGAGGAGGCGGCTTGCAATAGGAACCGGCTAATCCCTGCCCCGGGTGTGGGTGCCCCGGCCTCTTCCCAGCGCGCTGACTGGAACTTTTTAACTTTCAGAAATCACTTTTGAAAGCACAGCCGCACAGTGGAACAGCTTAGGGCCTTGTCATGGCTGTTTGCAAAGGCTGACAGCCTGAGCTTTCCTAATGAGGTGCTGTAACGCTGACCTTATACTGTTCTGGGTAGCCACACATGAGTAGCACAGTACAAGAACAACTAAGGGAGGCATGGAATCCCCCTCAGAGCCCAGGTCACAGCGGGGAGTTGTCCCAGTCGGTGTCTTGTTGGCCTGGTTGGGGCTGCCCTTCACTGCTGCTCACTTGTCACAGCTGGTGACTGAGCTCTTTGCTGCTGGAGGGGTGAGGTGAGCTCTGCAGGGCCTGTGTGTCTCATTTCTTGCACGTGCTTTGCAAGAGACGGCGATAGTCTGCTGGTTTACGTCTCTTATTTTCCTCAGAAGGAGCAGTAAATGGTTGCTGGCTATCCATCTCCAGCTGCTTCGCTAGTCACTGATGGGTTACTCCAGAGGGGCTGTTGAGGGATGGCTGGAAGCAATGGGAAGAGTTCAAAAGTATGAGCTTTAGACCAGTGACTTGGGGTCTTGAAGTTGTCTAGCAGAAATACAGTACTCTTGGCTGGTAACACATTAAGGGAGCTGAGGTAATTGACTTCTTTAATTTCCTACTTTTTAGAGCAGAAAGACAATTTGCCATGTTGTCTTCCCAGCCCTAAACCTCCTGCAGTTACAGAAAAAGCTGAAAGCTGATCAATTTCCATTCTCCTTAAGTGGGCTGAAGTTCTTGATCTTAACTTTTTGCTAGGCTCTGCCCCATTTTAGCATCTTTAGAGCAAGAAGCATTCTGAACATTAGGAATGTTTTGGTGATGCTAATTAGGAGCTTTGTATGACTGAGCTGTTGGGGGATATCTGGTGATGAATACTTCGTTAACAAAAACCTCTGTGGGTTTAAGGAAATGGGCATGGGGGGATGTGAAGCTATCTGGCCACAGCTGCCATCATCAGGCTATAACAAATGGCTTTTATGAACAGAGGGTTGAATGCTTCAGCAATGACTCTTACACGTAAAATATATTATTAAAAATGAGATCAAGAGGAGGGAAGCATCAGAGGTGCTGATGCAGTGCTCTCAGCAGCAACACCGAGCATCTGTCCTTTCAATTTTAACTAGTGGGTTGCTCTATTAATACTAATTGTACTGTTTGTTCCTTCAAGTCTTTGTATACATCCATACTTTAGCGCTGTCATATGGAAGATAGGTCTTTCAACACAATACAAGCATATTTTGCCCTTCTCATGTAATTTATGATCCAGTTACCTTTGTCATTTGAAAGGTGTTTCTCCAACTAAAGTGAAAATTGTGCGGTTTTGCTTTCAAAAAAGCACTCTTGAGAGCTTGAGATCAAAGTACCTGTAATTATTATTGCAGCCATCTAATATCCTTTTGGATTAGTATTGCATGTAGAATAATCAAATTGCTCCTCCCAGCAAAAACAGTCTGAACAAAAGCTGAATTGATTGTCTTTTCACAAACAAGTTTTGTGACTATTAGGCATGCAAATCCTGTGAACTTTCAGAGAACTGTAAGAGGCAGAAATTGGTAAAGACATCTGCCAAAAGCTCCTCCAGAAAGAGTTTGGAAAACCACTGTGAAAATCAGATGTCTAAGCAAAAACGCTAGTTTGTCTTCTAGTTTGCTCCTAACTTGTTTGGAATGAGGCCTCCTTAGAGCTGTGTCATTGCAAAGCCCTTTCAGTGCCAGAGCTTCCCCTCAGCCTCCGGTTTTTGAACCATCTTTTAGTATCAGTCCCATTTGTTCTTTCGTGCACCTTGGGATATGTGTTCATCCTTCCTTTGTCACAGTTTCACATGCTGCATTGCTAAGTTTCACCTGTGATATGCAGTGGGACAGTAGCAAAGCCTCCGCCAAAGCTGGGAGAAAGGAGCTCCACCTACCCCCGCTGCTGAGTCTGGTTTTTTGTGTGTAAGGTAACAAGCTACACTGCTGCTAGTCTGCCAGTTCCTCTCAGGTTGGACAGGCTGCTGCTGCTTTCTAGAACAGGATTAGAAGGCTGTTCACAAGATGACTCTGGCTGCTGCATATTCTTGCACCTTCTCAGACACCTCTGCTTACCTAGACCCACTTTGGATACTAAAGGTAAAGCAGCTTCTGTGAGCAACTTCTCACAGTTGAGCAGATCTTCAAAGGCTACCAATCTACTGCTAGTGAGAGAAGATGCTTTTTGTAAGCCACGTGAGCATTGGAGTTGTGAAGCTTGGTCAGCAGATGTCTTACCTACAACAGGCAGAACCAGGGAGGGCTGTTTCAAGCAAGATAATAGTGTGACTTCTTATCTGAACAGTGAGCTGCTGCAGCTTGTCCAGTGGAAACTGGAAGATTTTTCTGAAAGAAGAGTATTTCTTTTGGAGGGATGGGATGAAAATTGTAATAACTATTTGCTTTTTGTCCAGATGAGATCACAGCTCACAGCAGCAATGTATCCTCACTAGTCCTGGGCAAAACCTCAGGCCGGTTGCTGGCAACTGGAGGAGATGACTGTCGGGTCAACATATGGTCAGTTAACAAGCCCAGTTGCATCATGGTAAGATCAGGCCTGTCTTTGACTTGTGGGGGATGGGAATATTAATTCTGAGGTACAGAGGCTGGGGAATGAGGGGGAAGATTGTTGTATTGTGGCTTCTGGGACTTGTGAATAGAGTTTACCACACAAAGACTGGATTCTAGCTAAAGACAGGGACAGAATTCAGTAACCGATGAGACCAGTGCTCCAGAGAGGATCTGGGATGCCTGGCTGCTTCAGCTGGGCCAGTGCTTGCCCAGATAATGAATACTGTGCCTTTTGTTACAGGCTACAGATGATTAAATGCAGAGTTTTATATGAGATCAGCTAGTTTGAAAGTGCCAGCTGCAGGGCCCAGTTTATACCCTGGAGTTTGCCCTCACAGCAGGAAACATCCCCAGCAGGATGTGTTCCCACCTGTCTGCAGTCACTGATTGTCAGCCCAGTGTTGTCTGTAGGCTGGGAAGAGTAGTGCTGGGCACAGTGTGTTAGAAAGAGCAGGATTACTCTGGTTGTGATCACTAAAGCAACCAGGAATCAGTTTAACAAGTGTCTGTCCTGCATGGCATTTGCTTTGAGTGGGTGTTGTCTTTAGCCGGTGTCCCTTATCACTTATTTAATTAACACCACAATGATGTTGCGTTATGGATGGTATTTCTCTAGCCAGTGTAAACCTTGTGATGAAGCAGCTGGGGAAGTAGGATCAAAGAGGCTAAAAGGTGAATGTGTCTACTTTATTTTCCCATTCATTTACTGTGTAAAGAGATTGAAATGGGTGCAAAAGGAGTTGCTCACCTTTGGCAGTGCTGTGCTGCTTGCCAAGCTGTAGTAAAGCTGTGTCTTCCCATCCCTCGGTGGTGGCATGGCAGTAGTTTGAAGCTAGAGTATTGCCTTCCACAAGAAGGTTGAAGAACTGAATGTCTGTACCCATTCTGTGGGAGCAGAGAGCTGTACCTCTCCTGCGCTTCTTGGGAGCCACAGATGTTGGAAGCTGGTGTTTCTGAGAGCAGGGGCTGGCTGGAGCTGCTGAGCATTTGTGCCAGTCTTGTATATCAAAAGAATCTTTATTTTGGGGAGTTGTGCTTTACATTTTGTCCTCTGAATTTCATTTTTAATCCTTATATTAGCGTTCCATATGTTTACATGTTGGAGAAGAGGATGAAGGGGAACTTTTGAAGTAGCACTGCAATTTGATTCCAGTTTGAGCTGTCTTACTAAGCAGTGACAGTTGCAGCAGTAGAGTATGCAGAAGATTTCAGTTACCCATGAAATCCTAAAAAAGCCCCATCAGAACAGGAAGCTTCCAGCTGGTATTCCCAGTATGTTCCCTCTATATGTGTGAGAGCTGGCTAGCTTAGCTATTTAAAAAGATCTGTTTGAGGGTGGAATAAAGCATAAAATATTGCTTAATTGACAAGTAAAAAGTCAGAGTAGTTGTATTGGTTTTCTAAAGCTCATTTTAAATATTCTTGTTTTCTAATTAAATACTGGCATTTTCAAAATACTTACCTAATTTGGAAGCTTTTTAGATGTCAAGTTATACTTCAGTAGTAGCACCACATTATCAGTGTGACACCCTTGCTGGCAGCAATACTGGAGCTCCTCGTTTATGGGAAGGTTTTGAAGTAGCCCTGCTTGTGCTCTTGCTTTGATTTTGTAACTGGCTCATGACACTTTGTGACCCAGTTAGAGCAAACACACTGCTGTTGCTTTTGCACAGCATAATTGTTATAATGTTAAGTGTGTGTCAATGTTGTGTGGGCATGCACACCTAATGTTTAAATACCCATGTCTCTTTTGATGCATCCTTTCAAAATTAGTCAGTGTACACCAGAAAGTGAGATGATGTGGAAGATACATGCATGGTGCAGTGATGTATGCAGTGATGATCGTAGAGAACTATAGAATCACAGACTGATTTGTGTTGGAAGGGACCTTAAAGGTCATCATCCAGTTCCAACCCCTGCCATGGGCAGGGACACCTTCTGATAGACCAGGTTGCTCCAAGCACCGTCCAGCCTGGCCTTGAACACTGCCAGGGATGGGACAGCCACAGCTTTTCTTGGCAACCTGTTCCTAAGGTGTCATCTCAATCTGTCCTCTGGCAGTTTAAAGTTGGTCTTTAGGGTGTTCTATCATAGTGGTAGCAGATGTGAAAAAAAAGGAGTAGTGGTGCAGCCAAGTGGTTCTAACTCGTGGATAAAGACATGAACAATGCCATTATGGACAGGGCTGTGTCAGTAGCTGTTGATGGTGACTTGTGGTTTTCTTTGCAGAGTTTGACAGGCCACACGTCGCCCATTGAGAGCCTACAGGTCAATACGAATGAGAATCTCATTGTTGCAGGGTCCCAGTCAGGGTCCATTCGAGTTTGGGACCTGGAAGCTGCCAAAAGTATGTTTCCATGAGTTCTGTTAATGCATGCTTTTTATAAAATCCTTATGCTTAATACATATGGTAACCCAAAAGGTTCCTAACTTACAAAGGAGCAGGAGCCTGGCATTGCTGTCATCTTAATTTCCATCCTTCTTAGAGAGCTTTTGTGCACTTCCTACTGAGGCTGTAGAGCTGTGTATGCACGCTCAAGCGAAATTTGTACATGTGTTGTGGAGATTGATCCAAGGAACTAGTTTCTAGCACTGACTCAAGTGTGTTGAGACTTACGTCCCAGATGAGTTTCCATGCATGTGTAGAGTAACTAGCATATAGAATTTGTACTTGGACTGTCAGCTTAAAATTGATTTTGGATCCTTTTAAGGTTGACAAATTGGAAGTTTTAAGTATATTAGATTCTGACAAGTAGAGGAATCCCTCACTTACTGACCCCTTGTTCTCATTCTTAGGTTCTAACTTTTTTTTCCTCAGCTGATTCTTCTCCTCTTCAATTCTTGCATGAAAGATGTAATTTTTAATAAATCATAAAAGCCATGAGCTCATCGAGCTCTGATCCTTTAAAGGCCAACTGTTGAGTCAAGCTTTATTTATTGCATTTTTCTCAAATCGTAGAACAAGTTTGCAAAGGAATCATGCATCTCTTGAATGCATTCTAGCAGGAATCTGTAAAATGACTCACTATTTCTTATCGGTTGCTATTTGTTCATAGAAAGAGTATGTAATGAGATAGACTTTCACTGGCTGAGCTAAGAAGGCAGACAGCAGGTGGCATGAATAATAAAAACTGCCTTTGCATTCAGACAGTTAAAGTCAGTTCAGTCATAAACTAGTTTGGCACTACAAGTGCAGGGTAGCTGAGTTGGCTGAATTTATTAGGACACCTATGAGCCAGTGTCTGTGCAAATGACCACTCTGGCTCAGCTCATTTCTGCTAGGGGAGTCATCAGACAGTTCCAAATGGCAGAGGGTGGAGAGAGGTTGTCCTTGTTATTATCTGTGCAATTTTTCTTCCTCAGAGGTGAGTCGCTGCTTTCAGAGATAGTGTTGCAGTTCTACTGGTCCTTTCTGGCTTCCAGAATTAGAAGGGGTGTTAACTTGACTGAAACCCTGCAATCATTCCTCTCTCTCTTGCTTCTCAGCTGTTCTTTCCCAGTCTTTGGAATGCTTTTTGCAAGGAGCAATTGAAGAAGTCCAGGGAGAACCTAAGAGACGGAAGTCAGGCTTGTGCCTGGATGGGAGTGCGGAGTCCTGGAAAGGGTCTTTCCAAACAATGCAGGCAACCAAATGTCCCTTTCACTTCCTAACTAAAACTGTTGCCCCCTCCCTTACCCTGTTTTGCTCTCAGTGTAACAGGTGGAAAGATAAGCTGCCTAGAAGCTGCCTCAGAGCGTGGCTTTTCAGTTTTATTTCCAGCATGGAGGCCTCTGGAGTTTTATTCATAGTTTCCACACCTAAGGACAGGACTTTCATGAGGATCATTGAACATGGGCCCTCTATTGCTGTTTCTTTGCATTGAAAGTGCAAGGTCGGAAACATTTCCATAAAATAATGTATACAGTATGTAACATGTCTAATGTATGTTGCATTAGCTTGTGCTTAATGTATGGCTAAACTTCTGCATGGTGTGCTTAATGTATGGCTAAACTTCTGCATGGTGTCTGGGGGAAATGATCTACTAAATATTTCCTTCCTATTCCTTCTTGCTCTGCTGCTTCTTTTCCCAGTTCTTCGATCCTTACTTGGTCACAAAGCAAATATCTGCAGCCTTGATTTCCATCCTTATGGAAGCATTGTGGCATCTGGCTCTTTGGACACAAACATTAAGGTAAAATCCGTATTCTCCTAGAGGTTGCCCTCTTTACTTGCAGTATGTCTGTTTTGAAAAGTGCCAGAATGTGCTTTGTGCCAAGCTGTTGATAGGTGCCCCACATCATCATTTCCATGTGTGTGGGCAGGCGGATTTGTGAGTGCTCATGAAATCTATGCGTGTGTGTTTGCGAAGGCAGTGTAACTCCTGTTCTGTGGAATGTGGCTCATGGTGCCAGCCAAGTGCTGGTGTCACCAAGCACAGATGTCCCGATTGCATCTGCTTCATCATGCTCATCCTAAACTGTAGGAATCAAACTTCTGTAGTAAGAAATAGCTTATAGAAGTGATTCTCACTTGGGGAATTGGGTTAGGAAATACCCCGAAAGCAAACAGGGGTTCAGCAGCCCCTTACAGGGAGAGCTTGTTTCCAGACTCTTGGGCTACCTGTGTGCTGGTCTAAATATGTCTTTTGTTTGTTTTTCTTCCCTGTAGCTCTGGGATATGAGGAAAAAAAACTGTGTCTTCAGGTACAAGGTAAAATGCTTCATCAGTTTTCAGACAAAGAGTGGGGAAAGATTTCTACTGAGAACCTGTGAACAAACTTTAAAGTGATTTTGTGCAATTAATTCCGTAGTTTTCCAGTATGAAAATAAGATCTGCACAATTCGTGAAGTGGCCTGGCAAACCTCTGCAGGCCATTGTGAGCTGCATGGGAACATGAAATGGACATCATAGGAGCTGAAGTACTCTAGTTTTGTTTGCTTTAGTGCAGGCGGGAGAGCATCCATGAGTGTTATTTATACTGTAACTGGTATTACCCTGCAAGTCCCCCCTGCACCAGGATGGCTGTATTCTTGGTGTGTTTTTCAACCAAAAAGACTTGCTGTATATTTTTTAATTTAGAAAACAATTTAGTGGAACAACATTTCTATGTGACCACCCATAAATTGTGTAATTTTAAATTGTTTCTGAATAAGTCAGATCTGTATTTACCATACTCAAAGTGTTGCCAGAAATGTCCACACTCATTTAGTGTGGGTAAGTGTTCAGCGGTCTGCAAGCTGTGGACTCTGTGAAGCAGTCAGTTGATTTTATTGTATTGTATAGAATTAAAAGACAAAAGCCAGAATTCCTTCAAAAGAAAGAGAGGGGAAAAAAAATAAAATACTATTTGTTGTTCTCCTTTTAGGGCCACACAGAAGCAGTTCGATGTCTCCGCTTTAGTCCTGATGGAAAGTGGTTAGCCTCTGCTGCTGATGATCACACTGTGAAGGTAATTTATTGTGACACCTGCTTATGTGCTTGTGATGCATAGAAATGCTGGGATCATCTTTTACCAGGCATTACCAGCACTCACTCATAAACACTTCTAGTTAATTAAGCAGCTGACTGAGCCCTGTGGCTTTGCAAGAACCAGTCTGTTTATGAGGATCATGTCCAGTGGCCCACAGTGTCCAGAAGAGAGCTGTGTGTGTTGTAGTGCACTTGTCCAACAGACATCTTGGCACTTATGCACATGAAAATTCAAGTTTTGGTGGTGGTGCAAGTTGTGAGACATGAACATTGGCCTCAGTTGTGTCAATAGTTGTTACAGAATGAGTTGCCCACAGCACATTACTCCACCATACCAGTTTCTGCTCTGCTCAATGAATTCACTAAGAGTGTGCTATCATAGAAAGATTTGGATTGGAAGAGACCTTGAGGTTCATCCAGTTCCAACCCCCTGCCATGGGCAGGGACACCTTCCACTAGACCAGGTTGCTCCAAGCCCTGTCCAACCTGGCCTTGAACACTGCCACGAATGGGGCAGCCACAGCTTCTCTGGGCAGCCTGTGACAGTGCCTCACCACCCTCACAGGAAAGAACTTCTTCCTTATATCCAACTTAAATCTCACCCTTTTTCAGTTTAAACCAGTCACCCCTTGTCCTATCACTATAGTCCCTGATGAAGAGTCCCCTCTCCTTCATCTTTGTAACCCACTTCAGATACTGGAAGGCTGCTCTGAGGTCTCCCTACAGCCTTGCTCGGCTGAACAGGCTGAATTTTCTCAGCTTGTCTTCATATATATTGCGCATGATTATCTGCCTGAAAATTACTGTTGGGACTGGGCAGAGAAGGAACTCAGAAAAGTATCAAGTGAAACAGTGACTTCGGTTGTTTCAGGTGTAGTATGGAGGACTGTGGGCAAAGGACTGGTTTTTGTTTTCAGCTTCACATGAAATAACCTGATCAGTCATTTCACTCTGGATTTTTCAGTGGTGGCTAATGCTAAGGGATTCAGAGCTTTGGGCTTTCTGTCTGCTTTTGAGATACAATCTGTGGGGACAGGTGAATCTGCTGTATTTTATGCCAGTCTCTACATATAAACCAGAAACTTCTAGAGGACAAATGAAATGAAAAATTTAGAAGAAAATGCCAGGAAAAAAAAAACCAAACAAAAACAACAACAAAAAAAACCAACCAAACAAAACAAACAAAAAAAACCAAACCCCAACAGACAAAAAGCAGATTCAAATGACTGGGATTGTACTCCTTCCCTGAGCATTGATTCTGTTCCTGGAGGTGAAGAAGCATTAGAAGGTTGCCAGTACAAGGAAATTTGAACTGTATTGGAATTCTCTAACGTGAAGTCCTTTCAGGAGTCTCTTTTTTTTCTTTCTTCCAGCTGTGGGATCTGGTGGCTGGGAAGCTAGTGTTTGAATTTACAGAACATACTGGCCCAGTAAACGTTGTTGAATTCCATCCCAATGAATACCTTTTGGCGTCTCGTAGCTCTGACAGGTATGTAAGGGGAGGGAGAAGGAAGGGAATAGTGTATGTCCATTCCCTTTCCTGATGTCTTTCCTTTTAGCAATGTGGAAAATAGGAATGTCACACAACTTAAACGTGCCATTGCAAGAGCCTGACATCTAGCCAGCAGCACATCACATCTGTGATGTGAAGCACATGGAGGTCTTATCTTCTCGTGCAAAATTGGTGGCCCTCTCTGCCACACTAGAAAACAATGCCTCTCACTAGTCCAGCTGACATCCTGAACAGCCAGCAGTCCTGCTCAGTTAGTAGGCTGTCCTCTTAGTTCTGGATCAGCAATAAATACCTATTCATGTCTAGAGCCTCTAAGCATCTGTGGCTGTATTATGGATCTTAGCTGGACTGGCCTTCTGGGCAGGGTCATTATACGTGCATGACAGCAAAAGCCATTCTAGCAGTTTGTGCATCATTTCAGTTCTGGATCCTACTGCAGATCTCTAGAGGGATGAATGATGATTTTTATTCTGTTCTGTATACAGGACTGTTCGGTTCTGGGACTTAGAGAAATTTCAAGTGGTAAGCTGTATTGAAGAGGAGGCTACTCCCGTCAGGTATATTAAATTCCTACTGCAGTGTCCAAGGCAGAGACTGAAGTGTGGGTAAATGGAGGATTTCCTGAAAGAGACTTTACTGGGGAGAAGTTTGGGCTGCTGGAGATGTTGTCCAGGCCCGCCAGATTGCACCTCTGAATACCAGATTGATAGGCTTATTGTTAGACACATAGCTGGAGGTGTTCAATGAAGACAGGGATACAGCCCTAGGGTCACTGTGAAAAGTTTGGAAGATTGTGTATGCCTAATTTTCCACCTGCCTTCCTCCCAGGTGTGTGCTTTTCAACCCAGATGGCTGCTGCTTGTATAGTGGCTTCCAGGATTCTCTGCGTGTGTACGGCTGGGAGCCAGAGCGCTGTTTTGATGTGGTCTTGGTGAACTGGGGAAAAGTAGCTGATTTATCTGTTTGCAACAACCAGCTGGTAAGCCACTGCTTCTGAGGAGGGGGCAAGCAGCTGCAAAAGACAAGATAAAATCCTCCTGCTTCCTTTAAGGCCTTAAAGGTTCTATCAGACTGTAAGCAGCCAGGGCTTGCCATGTGCCTAGCACTTAGATAAATATTGTGTGCTTTTGCTTTGAGCAACATCGTGCTCCACTTTGTCTCTCTTTGGCTTCTGGAGGAAAGAAGTGGGGCTTGGTTTGACCAGTATTTAGAAACTGTGCTTGTCAAAAGTCTTACTACAGCCTTTTGTAAAACACTGGCAGCTTCAAATTTAAAGTGTCAAAGCAGCTAAGTGGGAAATTCTCAAACAGTTATGCAGGGTCACAGCGTCATGCGTGCTCTGAGAAAGGCTCAGGGTGTGCACCCTGTTCCCTGGTGAGTTACCTTGGTCTTTTGTCTCTGCAGATAGGTGTTTCCTTTGCACAAAGCACAGTCTCTTCCTTTGTTGTGGATCTCAGCAGAGTCACAAAGTCGGATTCTATACCTCATGGGCTGATCAGGGATGATGAGTCTCTTGTGTCACTTACCACCACGGGGTCCTCCCTTCGCCGCATCTATGACAGGCCCTCAACTAGGTGCAGCAAGCCACAAAGGTAGGGAATCTGCTAGCTTGTTGTATTTCAAGATTCTAAGGAAATGTAAGGTAAGCTTAGTGCTTTCTCTCTGGTGGAGTCCATACAACTTGCTCTGACAGCATCTCTTTTCCACAGTAGAGTGAAGCTTAACTCGGAGAGTGAGAGGTGCAGTCCCAGCAGCGAAGACGACCGGGATGAGAAGGAATCAAAAGCTGAGATCCAGAACCCAGAGGATTACAATGATATCTTCCAGCCCAAGAATGCTATATGTCAGTACCAAGGTTTATTATGCTATTGAGTAGTGATTGTATTAGCGCTGTAGGTGCTAAACTGGTTCTGTAGAAGTGAGCTTTGGGTTACTATCATAGAGGCTTTGTCTGTGACTGGGAGAATTTAGGAAATGGCTTTTTTGGATGCTGAGCCACAGATGATGTCGGTGAACTGCAAGGAGGTGGCACCTTCACTGAGTACAGTGATGTCTAGTCAAAGCCTGTCCTAGAATCCAGAGCTCCAGTGTAAGCATAGATTTACATCCTGTTTTGGGTTGGAAGGGACCTTAAAGCTCATCCAGTTCCAACCCCTGCCACAGGCAGGGACACCTTCCACTAGACGAGGTTGCTCCAAGCCCTGTCTAGCCTGGCCTTGAACACTGCCAGGGATGGGGGGCAGCCACAACAGCAAAGCATGCTGCCTTCTTGTTTTGACTGGGGAGGATTACTGTGTTACAGGATCTTTATTAGCTTAGAATCGTGCTATGAATAAAATTAGCAGTCTCCATTAAGGAAGGAAAGACAAAATGTTCTGTTAAAGCAGAAGCAGTTGTGTAGGAAGCATAGTGCAAGGCCTGTGCCATTTTTATGTGAATGTGAAAAATTAGGTATTCCTTTTAAGTAATTAGTAATCGTTATTTGGATTTATTTATGTAAATCAATTTAGTAAGTGTTTATTTTTTATCTCATGCAATTTATTGTGACAGTGCCTTTTCTTGTGCTTCACACCTCTTCAGCAGCAATGAACTACATGGGTCAGTTTTTTATCTCCCATCCAGGAAGGCTGAAAGCCTTTGGCTAAACTCAACAATAGCGTCACAGTGTGAAGGAGATAAGTCTGCTTGTCATATTACCGATTACCCAAATGTGTGGGGTTTTGGAGGCCTTCCAGCTCCAAGGTTGACTTAGTGCGAATCTGTAGCCTTGGATGCTTCTTTGATTGTTTATTCTGTTTCCTGTCTCTGTAGGTCGCACTCCTCCTCCGAACAGTGAGCCCTTTCCAGCCCCCCCTGAGGATGGTGACTGTGAAAATGACCCCTTGGGGAGAATGAGGTTAATGACCCTAAAAGGTGGGAGAGCTCCACATCTGGAGAAAAGACTACTTGTAATCTAGCTGTACAGAAACTTTTCTATCAACTTCTCTTGAAAGGAACAATCACTTTCTGCTTTCTCACTTCTTTCCTTCTTGGTAGAGCCCATAGCTGCAAAGGAAGCAGTGAAGCCCACCCGAGCTCCAGATGTCCAGACACTGTTGCCAAAGCAAGAACTTGTATGTACTGTTTGATCTGTTAATAGCTGTTCATACCCCCACTGTGAAAGACACACAAGTGCTAGAGACTTTACAGTTTCTAAGGAAGCCAGTTCCTCTACTGAAGAGCAGTAAAAGTTCAGCTTCAGGCTTTGTCCTGCCCTAAGGCTTGCCTGATCAGTAGAACCAAAGGCCAAGCCTCCAACAGGCAATGACTCTGTTGCTTCTGTTCACTTCCTGCACTTGCAGTGGTGTTTGTGGTTGTATCTCAAAAGTGAGGCACTCTGAAGAGGACCAAGTGCAGGATATATTATCCTGGCTTTTCTCTCAGCCTTCAGGCTGGCTACAGCCTCTTACCCTGATTTTAGATACCAGTGGCAGCACTTGGCACTTCTGCTGGGACATCTCTCTGTTCTTTGCAATTTTCATTACATCTTAGTAGGTACCTGAGAGATACTTTGCTGCCTCTTTAAACTGTGCTAGTAAATTGGAGACTGCATCTGCCTGAGGACCCTGCTATGGGAGGAAAGCGGGTCAGGAAAAAAAGGACATCAGGCTAGGGCCAGAATGCTGCTCCTAGAGCTTTTACACTAATTTCTTCTGCAGCCTAATCCAGTCCAGAGCCCACCAATTGCCTCTTCAGCTGCTTTGACCAGAGCAGAGCCATTGGTGATTCCTGCAGCCAGAAATGAGCCCATTGGCCTGAAAGCCTCTGACTTTCTACCAGTAAGTATCTCTGGACAAAAGAAAAGTTTCTGGCTGGTGTCTGTTTGGGGTGGTATCAGAAAGGGGGTTCTCTGGCAGGCAAGTGTACTGGGTGCTTTCTGCAGCCTGCAGTCCTCAGTACTGAATGAAACCATGTTACTTCCTGCTCATCCTCTGCCCACTTGGTGCCTTTCCTGCCTCCCAGCTCCTCCAACATGCAGTTCTTGTGGAATCAGCACATCCAGATTGCTCGACATAGCCCCCATTGTGATTGACAGCAGGCTGATGAGAACACAGTAGCACTGATCCACACTCAAAGGATGTGTTATTAAAGCAGAGAACTAGGGATAGGGCTCAGACACTGAACAATTCCGTGTGCTAGACAATGTTTCATTTAGAAAATTGGTGTCTACTATTACACATACGTAATTATTTCATAGCAATTTTTGCGTCTTGGAGGACTCTTGGCCTCCCCTGGGGAGGATATTTCCTGTCCCAAAAATGGAGAAGGCCTAGAGGATCCTTATGAATTCAAACTCAAATTGTGAGCAAAGGAAGTGGTGGTTCCAGTAGGGCTTAGCAGGAATCAAACTGAGAGGCTAATAGATGGTATGAGATTTATAATTGTAATAACATTCAGCTGAAGGTTTCAGATGAAAAATAAGGCATTTGTGAAAATACTTCTTCATCAAAATGTGTTGGGATTGGAAACCTCCTTTTAATTCACTTTTTTTTTTTCTCCAAAGCTTCAAACATATTTGTGACTGATGTAGTAGAAAAGACAGAAGAGAAGTAACTTAGATCAGAACAAATTGAGCATTTCAATTTCAGAATGGCTTTAAAACAATCTTGAAGGAAGTCAGTATTTGCTGGGACTCTCTACACCAAAACCAGCTCTCACCTACGCCAGGGAAAGCTTCTACCTTTCTGTGCCACCTTGCTCTATTATTGCTTCTCCATTGGTGTGTACTTTCAGGCTCTGAAAAACCAAAGCCAGACAGAGCTTGTGGATGAGGAAGCCATTTCTCAGATCAGGAAAGGCCACGAGACCATGTGTGTGGTGCTCACCAGTCGCCGCAAGAATCTGGACACTGTGCAGGCTGTGTGGAGCTCCAGTGATATTAAGGCAAGGATGCAGAGATACCTAAGGTCTGTGAGGCTTGTTCAGCCTGGAGAAGAGAAGTTCCCAGGGAGACCTTAGAGCAGCTCCAGTGCCTAAAGGGGCTACAGGAAACCGGGAGAGGGGCTTTGGACAAGGGCCTGTAGGGACAGGACAAGGGGGAATGGCTTGAACCTGACAGAGTTCCCAAGATGCTTTCTTGGGAAGAAGTTCTTCCCTGTGAGGGTGCTGAGGCCCTGGCACAGGGTGCCCAGGGAAGCTGTGGCTGCCCCATCCCTGGCAGTGTTCAAGGCCAGGTTGGACAGGGCTTGGCACAACCTGCTCTAGTGGAAGGTGTCCCTTCCAGTTGCAAGGGGTTAGAACTGGATGAGCTTTAAAGGCTTTTCCAACCTAAACCAGTCTGTGTTTCCGTTTGATGGGAGCAGCTGAACAGCTCTTCTGGCTTGCAGGGAAACAGTTCTGCCTCTTGCACAAAATGCAGGGTCTCACAGCTTTTGTCCCCAGGCAGAGTGCTGCTGTGTCCCACCTGTACTTGAAAGGCCACAAAGAAACGTGGAAACAACTTTCTCACAAGAGAGTTTTCTTCTCTTCCCTAGTGAACTCCACGTTTCCTCTACCTTGTTTTTGAAAAGCTGTACTTGGTAGTAATTGCACTAGCCTAGCCAGTTTGAGTTTTGCGCTTGGTGACTTCTTCCCCTTCTCTCCCAGAACTCTGTTGACTCTGCAGTGGCGATCAACGATCTGTCTGTTGTCGTGGACCTCTTGAATATTGTCAACCAAAAACCGTGAGTCCTGGGTAGGGGCATGTCATGGTTTAAAACCAGTCAGGCAGCGCGTTCACTCACTCTCCCCCTTCTAGCTCTTCCCCTACTCCCAGTGGGACGGAGAGGAGAATCAAAAAGAATGCAACTCCCATGGGTTGAGATAAGAACAGTTTAGTAACTAAGGTATAACACAAATCACTACTGCTGCCACCAATAATAGTAATAATGGTAAAGGAAGTAACAAGGGAAGAGAATACAACACCTCACCACCCACAAACTGGTAACTTGCCCCTCCCAGCCTGACCAAGCACCGACCGATACCTCCTCCAACCCTGCAGTCCCCTAGCCCTTCTGGGTAACTCCCAGTTACATCCTGGGCATGACGTGCTGTGGTATGGAATACCTCTTTGGTCAGTTTGGGTCAGGTGTCCTGTCTCTGCTTCCTCCCGGCTTCCCCTCATCCCTGGCAGAGCATGAGGCTCAGAGTCCTTGGTCAGACTAAAACATCAGCGTTATCAACTCTGTTCCCAGGCTGAAAGTCAAAACACAGCACTGCACCAGCTACCAAGAAGGAGAAAAATGACTGCTACTGCTGAACCCAGGACAGGGCAGCCCCTGGGACACCCAAGAGGCACCTGGCTTGGTGTCAGGAGTACTGCTTTGTACCTGCCTTGTATCCCGTGGACAATAACAGCATGAAATGCATGTGGCTGTAGTCAGATCTGCAAGTCTGCAGTACCAGAGACTGCTGGAGATGCATGGGGCCCTTGTGGTGGGCAAATGGTGCCTCACTTAGAACTTCATAAAGTGACTCTGTTGAATCAAAATAAGTCAAAACCTTCGATTTCCCATCACAAGGGGGAGTCAGTGAACTTGCTCAGTAAACTTGAATGCTGCTGCCTTGGCTTTTTTTGCCAAAAAGCATTATTTGTGTCAACTCGGTCTTGTAAAGCTTCATAATCCTGTCTCAGCTTGTGTTCTTTTCTGTTCAGGTTTCTCTGGAAGCTGGATTTGTGTGCTATAGTCCTGCCACAGGTAGAAAAACTACTCCAAAGTAAATATGAAAGGTGAGGCCCCAAAAACATGGTGTGTTGGGGGAGAAGGTGGAGATACTCCTGGAATTGCTCCTCTGCGTGTTTTGTAGCTGAAAGAACATCCTGAAAACTCGCAGCAGATACAGCATAATGCCAGTACAACTGGAAAAGGGCAATGGAGTTGCCAACTGTGTGGGGAAAGAGTCATGGAAAGTCTGCATGGGCAGGAAGAGCAGGATATTGAGATTTGGAGTAGGTGCATTGGATTGAAGGCAGCTCTGGCAGCCAGGAGGGGTCACATCCATGTAGAACAAGTGGGCTCTGCACACAGATAGGAATGAGATTGTCGATGTGGAGCAAGAGGAGTGAAATCTTGCATGGGGGTCACTTGGATTGCTTTGAACTTCGTTAGGTGGCAAAAAATATGCATCCTGTCTTAAGATGGAGTGTCTGCCATTCCAGGGCCCCTCAGCAGGACACCTCTGCTCTTGAGCAGAAAGGTTTTGCGTAGCAGAGAATATGCCAGGACCCTTTAAAAGGACTCACTTTGTCCGTCTTGACTCGAACCAAAGTGTATGGGTATTTGGCTGGTGCTGTCCTTACCAGGTTACAGGTGGTGGGTGGGGGTTTGGTTGAGTGGATTGTCCCCATTGACTGGATGTGAGTGACAGCTGTGTGCTGGGAGGACAGGAATGAAACTCAAGTGGGACCCGATTCTCCATTTTTGTAGCTACGTGCAGACTGGCTGCACCTCCCTGAAACTCATTCTCCAGAGATTCCTGCCACTGATCACAGACATCCTCGCTGCACCACCTTCTGTTGGAGTGGACATCACCAGGGAGGAAAGGTGAGGCACTTACCTCCTCCACTTGCTCCCTTTTTTGACCCAGCCTTTCTCTTTGGTGAGCTTTGCTCCTTGTCATCAAGGCTTTGATACTAGACTGGGCATGCCTGCCCTTTTGTCTGTCAACACCAAACGCTCCTGCCATGAGAAAAAACCAAGGACTGCTTTTCTGTGTGTCACTGTGTACTGAGTCATACCTGAGCAAAGCGTGAGAATGTCAGGAGTAAAACCACCTTGTGGCTTCACCCTCTACCTCACAAGACACATGAGTTGTCAGCTGGGCACTGGATTTCCAGTTCATTCACAAAATAGCTCTGCTCTGAGAAGTTGCCCTCTGAAAACAACACCTTCTTCCTCCCTGGATTTTACTGCCAAAGGGGAAAGGAGGAGTAAAAGAGTCTTTATGTGGATGCCATTCTCCTGTGTCATCAGGATGTGGGCTGAATACATAGTGTTTCTGCAGAGCCATGCTCACATTTAACCTCTTCCAGGCCATTTGCAGGGCTTGTGTTTTCTCGCCTGCTTATATTGCATCTTTGATGGTGCAGGAACAAGCACTTCAGCAGCTGAGGATTCATGCTGTGTCTGCTCTCTGGCTTTTGCAGGCTCCATAAATGCAAGCTGTGCTACAGGCAGCTGAAAAACATCAGCATCATCATCAGGAGCAAGTTTGGGCTCAGTGGCCGCCATGGTAGTACCTTTCGGGAACTGCACCTCCTCATGGCTGGCCTGGACTAACAGCCACCACCTTCCCATGTGCAAATGAAGGTGGCCAAGCTCTCCTTGGGTCTGGCTGAATTTCACCTCTCTCCATGTGTCCATCTTTGTCCTCACAGTGCAGTAGGGAAGTGGGATCTCACTGGCTGGTTGCCTGCCTAGCCTGGGTGCCTTTACGGGCTGGATGGAGGACCTGAGTGGAGAGACATCTGACCTGCCTGGTGGAGGGCCCCAGGAAGCCCTGCAGGGAGGCAGCTTCATTTCATCTTTTCATCTCAGCATCAAGCTGTCAGCTACTCCATCTGTGTGTGATGGCCTTTTGCTGATGGCCATCCACGCCCACTGTCACATCTTCACCCATGTGTGCTGTTGGTTTACTGGCCCTATGGGTTGGGGCTGGCTGGCCCCACTCTCTCTGTGCATTGTGCTGCCCACAACAGCCTGATGGGGGGTTGGAGTGTCCTTTCTCTACAGAAGGATTTCACCTGCCCTGAGGGACTGGGTGTTTGGGCTTCCTTCATCAAACATGAGCCAGGACACCAAGACTCCATGCCTGGGGTAGCTTCGAGGACTTGTATTGAGAGGGGGCTGTCTCTTGGCTTCTCAGGAAGCCCTGCTGGTACCCTGGACTGCACAAGCTTGATACCATCAGAATTGCTGGTAACTGAGGTCTACCTGGAGGAGTTAAAATATGTGACTTAAACAGGACTTCTCGTATTTTTACATTTGGGGATAAGGATTTAGGAGGGCTGAGAAACAGAAGCATGTGGACTAATGTCTTTCTATATCCACTGGACTGCTATTTTTCCCTTAATAAATGTCTGTCAGAACCTTTCTGTCCCTCTTTCTTTCCAGTGTGGAAAGAGGTTTCTGTTGGTGCTTCCCCTGCTCCTCCCAGCCTCTCTCCTATTTTGTTATACATTGGAGCTTGTTCTCTGAGAAGCTGTAACTTACAATGGCGTTTATTAAAAGAGTTGTAACATTTTTTAGTAAGAAGTTGTGTTAAATGCCTGAATCTCTTGAAGCTCTGTTCACCTTGTCATGCCTCCTGGCTGGGAGTGTCCAGGGAAAGTAGGGCTCTGCTCCCTGTGTGTCTCAGAGGGAAGCCGGCCCTTCTCCCCATTCCTGCTGGGAGGCTGGGGTAAGTGGATGTGGTGAGCAAGCTGGAGAGGCAGCACTGGCTGGGTTTCACTTGCTGAAAGCCTGGGGGAGGTTTCACTCTGCTGGGTATTCCCAGCCCAGAGAAGAATGTCATTGTTTGTGGCTTGTCTTTCCCCCTGGTCTCACGCAGATGTCTTTTCCCCACCTGAGCTCCAGCAGGTCTCAGTGCAGCAGCAGGAGTTTGTCTGTATGGTTTTCTGTGAAGTCCTGACGTAGGTGCTGGTGTTTGGGGGCATAGGATACTGTTTTGGGGTCAGATAGGGGGGCCAGCAGGAATCAAAAAGTCTCAAAGTGGTTTGGGTTGGAAGGGACCTTAAAGCTCATCCAGTTCCAACCCCCTGCCACAGGCAGGGACCCCTTCCACTGGAGCAGCTTGCTCCAAGCCCCGTGCAACCTGACCTTGAACACTGCCAGGGATGGGGCAGCCACAGCTTCTCTGGGCACCCTGTGCCAGCGCCTCAGCACCCTCACAGGGAAGAACTTCTGCCTAAGATCTTATCTCAGTGTCCCCTCTGTCAGGTTAAAGCCATTCCCCCTTGTCCTGTTCCCTACAGGCCCTTGTCCCAAGCCCCTCTCCAGGTTTCCTGTAGCCCCTTTAGGCACTGGAGCTGCTCTAAGGTCTCCCCTTCAGGAGCCTTCTCTCCTCCAGGCTGCCCCAGCCCAGCTCTCTCAGCCTGGCTCCAGAGCAGAGCTGCTCCAGCCCTTGCAGCATCTCCGTGGCCTCCTCTCAACTCCCTCCAACAGCTCCACGTCCCTCTTGTGCTGCTGCCCCAGAGCTGGGCACAGGACTGCAGGGGGGGTCTCCCCACAGTGCAGTGGAGGGGCAGAATCCCCTCCCTAATCTGCTGCTCACACACTGGGGGTGCAGCCCAGCACACAGAGAGGATCTGGGCTCAAGCACACACTGAAGCTGGGTCATGGGGAGCTTCTCATCACCCAACACCCCAAGTCCTCCTCAGGGCCGCTCCATCCTGTCTCCCGCAGCCTGTGTTTGTGATGAGGATTGCCCCAACCCATGTGTGGGACCTTGGCCTTGTTGAATTTCACGAGGTTTGTGTGGTCGAGCAAAAAAAAATAAAGCCAATCCCAATCTTGCCGATACTTCACCCAAATGTGGTTAAGGTTTGGGAGTGAGGGGGTGTCCTGCTCTCCTCTGTGGCTCTGAAGGTGGCTCATGCAGCAAGAGGCCCTGGCAATGTGTGGTCACAGGACAGCAGGACCGGGGCTGAAGATGCTGTGTACTGTGTGTGTGTGTGTCCTGCATGCACTGCTGCTGCCTCACCCAGGGCCTTTCTGGTGACGATCCCACGCCTGGGCCCAGCTGGGGTGTGATAAGGCCCCATGCCAGCCCCCAGCAGTCCCCACAGTGGGGAGAAGCATGAGGTACAGCAGGACATTGCAGTGCTGGGGCTTACTTTGTGTTTGACAACTCCATCCCCTGGTAATGAAGGGAGGTGGGCAGCTCCAGCCTGGGGTCTGTGGTGCCAGGCTCTCCCAGGCACAGCTCCAGGAGGATGCCCCTCATGGGCTTTCCCAGCTCTGAGGGAGATGCTGTGCCACGGGAGGGAGCACTCATCCATCCTGCTGCAGAAGCAACAGCAGCACAGGAGGACTGGATTTAACACTTTATTTGAAATAAGTTTTGTTACAAAACAGGATTTTTTGTTATTATTAAAATACATAGAAACATCTAATCTTAAAAAAGGCTAGATTTATTATTCCCTTTTTTGCTTTTTTTTTTCTAATAGGATATGCTGTGGAAGAGCAAGAGGAGGGGAGCCAGTAGGAAGGAACATTAGTGCAGCCAGTTGGGTATATGCAACAGGAGAAAGCATACCCAAGAGTGAGTGCTCATTGTCGGAGGGGCAATGCCACCTCCTCCCATACCCCTGCCAGCCTCCATCCCCATAAGTAAAGCAAACAGTTTTTGGGCTGGAGGGGTTTTTTGTTTGTTTTCTGCTTGTTTTGCATTCCAAGACCATGTAAACAGGGTATAAATATTTCAAACACTTTCATCTTGACCACGCTGTGATCGCTCTTGACAAGACAACTGGTAAAGAACTTTACAATAGCTTCATTTGAGACTGCTAAACCCACCCTGGCGCTGTGTACCACTGTGCCAGGGCAGCACCAGCACCACGGGCAATGGCAGCTTGGCTCATCCAGGCATCAGGGTGCCGCCATGCAACAACAGGCCTTGGGAAATCTTCAGGGAAAGAAGCTTCTGGGATTTGTTTTCTAGCTTAAAATAGAGGAAGCACTGCTCTGCAAGACATGAGGCAGTTCCCCTGATGCAGGCCCAGGCTGGGCCCTCAGAGCCATTTCCAGAAGCTCCCCTGGCTCTGAGCATCCTCTCCAGCCAGGTAACTAGAAAAAAAAGCTGGAGAGATGGAGGGAGCACCCAGGAGCTCCCACTTGGACTAAAAACATCCATCCAGTGACAATGAAAGGTCACAGAACTGAGGGTCTGAGGGGGCAGATTCCTGCCCAGCACCGCTGTCCCCACCCTGTGATGGGGGTCTGGCTGCTGGGAGATGCTGGCACTGTGCTGCTCATGTGAGAGGTGCTGTCACCCTCACATCGAGTCCTGTTGGGCAAGGGAACAGCACCAAAGCCTTCATGTCTCTGAGCAGCCGGGTCTCAGTAGTGACATGAGGGGCCCAGTCCTGCAGCAGGTTTGGTGCCGAGGCTGGCACTTGTCACAGTGGCACAGGCCTCAGCTTCCCTGCAGGAAGAGAAGTGTGGGTCACAGGGGGTATGGCCATTGCACCCTGGCCCCATTGGCAGCACTCCAGCAGATGCTGCATTGCACCGGTCCCACAAGCACCCCATGAGCACCCTGCAAGCGGCAGAGCCCGGCGCCCCTGCCCTGTGCGAGGCCAAGCAGAGCCCTCCACCGGCTCCCGGCCGCAGGCACTCACCTGGCAGCCACGGCTGCCCCTAATTCAGGCTGAAATTGAAGGGAGAAAGGTTCAGCCCATGGGCAGCCCAGGCTGCAGCTGCACAGTGGTGCGCTCGTGGGGAAGTGATAACCAAGCTTCCCGTGGCTAATTAGCAAACAGATAACGAGCTGATCACAAATCAGCTACCTCCCCACCACTGGCTTTGCCTGCCTGTGCTTGGCTGGGAGGAGGCTGGGGGCAGGTGCCTGTGATGGTGATGGGGGGGCTCTGGCAGGGTACCTGGGGTGTGGAGCAGAGCTGAGGTGTCCCACCACCCACCTGAGGGCTGGAGCTTCCTGCGGATGGAGGCGGCACGGCCAGAGAGGTGCCCCAGGCTGGGGGACATGTGGGCCCGGCCAAGGGGTGCTGCGGTCCCCGGAGAGTCACCCTGGGGGGAGACAAAGGGGTACGGCCCCAGGGTCAGCCCGTGCCAGTCCTCAGAGTGAAAGAACAGGGATGGGCTTATGGGCAACGTGGTGTCCAACTGTGCTCTGGGGGTACCATGGGGCTGCTGTAAAACTGTGCTTGGAAGAGCCGAAGTGGCAGCACTGGCCAGATACCACTGCTTAGGGACAGTCTGTGCCCCACACAATGATGATCCCCAGTGGAGGGGACCCAACAGCAAACAGCCCTGGGACCCATATGGGTGCAAAACAGAAGGACCCCCCCCACATACACACACAGGGGTGAGAAGGAAGAGGAGGGGCAGCCCCTGGTTTACCTCCAGCTGCTCCTGGCTGGGCCAGGAGCCCAGCTCAGCCTTGCGGGAGACAGGACCCAGCTCCACAGAGCGAACCCTCTCGGCAAACTTGAGGGAGCAGAGTGTCTCACTGGTGTTCTTCTCAGCAGGGGACACCTGTGCACAGGCAGGAGCAGGCAGTCACTCCAGCAGCTGCCTGCACCCCCAGGGCTGCCCTCCCACCCCGGACAACACACTGCGCCATGTCCTGGACTGGTGCTATTATTAACCCGCTGCTCCCAGGATAGCCCCGTCCAGTGTCTGACCCAGTCAGATCCCCTGTCACCAACTGCCCTGGCGTGAGGGACAGCCAGGAAAAGCTGCAGCAGGTGGCAGGAGGCAATCACAGGGCAAGGATGGAGGAGCTGCCAGAGCCCAGCATCCTCCAGTGGGAGACAGGACGGGCAGATGTCAACATGCAAAGACATGGTGTGCATAGAGCCAGCAACCATGTGCAGGCAGGGAGGGCAGGAGTTCATCTTCCAAGTTCATCCCCCATCCCTTGGCCTCGTCTGGGGTGCAGAGACAGCAACAGAGCTTCCCCTGGCCCCATGACTGCAGACCCCATGGAAAAGCCTGGTCCCTCTTCAGCCTCCAGCATCCCTACTGCCTCCTGCAGCACGAGGACCAAACCCATCCCCAGACCCCATACTGCTACCGACAGGCACCGGGAGCCCAGCCCCACCTGGACCATCATGAGGGTCTTGCTGTCGCCGCTGAGCGAGTCCTGCAGCAGGTAGGTCAGCTTGGAGTTGCGGAAGGGCACGTGTCCCTGCCGGGAGCGCAGGGCATAGATGACGTCCCCCAGCGCAGAGAGGGACTTGTTGATGTGCTGTGCCTCGCGGAGCCGGCTGCCCTCTGCACCCGACCGCCCCACACGCTCCGACCCTGCCAGGTCTACCAGGTTCAGCTTCCCTGGGGACACAAACAAGTGGCCATGGCTGTCATCAGCCCCACACACCCCCTCGGCACCCAATGCCCTGGTGAGGGGCTTGCTCCGGGACCCACCTGTGGTACGCAGCCCTGTGCTGCGGTCGAGCCCGCGGACGGTGATGATGAGGAGGGCATGGGAGCGGGAGCTGTGCTTGTTCAAGTTAGTGCATTCTGTTGCACAGCTGACATGGCCAAACTTGAAGACCTGGGGGAATCCAGGGAGATGGGATGGAGTGGGGGGTGGGTGAGGTCAAATTTGCCCCAAACTCACCACAAATCCCCTGTAACCCGGGCAACAGCCCCCCACAAGGTGCCTGGTCTATTGGGATGATGACTGCTGTCAGGTCTCATCCTGGTTGATGCAGGAAAGGCAGAGGGTGACAGGCAGGGCTCTGTGGTGACAGCTGGTATCCTGCTAATCCTCTAGGAGCCACCTGCCCCCCACACTTTTATTTTTAACCCCTTGCAGGTCACCCCAAGGGACAGCGACCATTACATCACACCCAGGGACCTATTTTAATCTTTGTTGCTCTCCAGTGTTTCAGAAATACTCCCAAACAGGGGGGCCACACATCACAGAACCCCCCAATGGTTGCCCCATCCCTGGCAGTGTTCAAGGCCAGGTTGGACGTGGCTTGGAGCAACCTGGTCTAGTGGAAGGTGTCTCTACTTGTGGCAGGGGATTGGAGCTGGATTAGCTTTAGGGTTCCTTCCAACCCAAACCAGTCTGTGACTGTGATTGTGCCCTTGTGCCTCCTCCCACGCCCCTTCACTTTGTTGATGTCCTCCACACTTTGCACCCTGAACTTGGTCAGCCCCAGCACATAGAGCTGCCTGATGCCATCAGGACACAGCTTGATCTCCAGCTTCTCCTTTAGCTCCTTCCCCAGCAGGTCCTTGGGTGAAGGGGTATCCATTATAGCCATTACCATCCCGGGGGAGTGACTAGTGCTGGGCCCCCTCCAGCACACAACCCCTCATTGCACAGAGCTGTTTGCCCAGGCTGCCAGATCAGCTGGATCCTTCCAGGATGCTGCACATCCCAGTCACAGCCCATGGCTCTTGACTCCCCATGTGCCCAACTACCACCCAACCCAGACCTAGTACTTATTGCCATCCCCATTATCCATATGGCTGAATTCCCAGCCTCCTCCAGGCACCTCCTGCCTGCAGCTGGGCTGGGGAGCAAAAGATTTCTCATTCTCCCAGTTCATTATTTCTAATTTTAACATCTGGGGGGGGGTGAAGGGGCAGGGAGGAGAGGGGGATGCCCTGACCACCGCATCAGTGCCTGGGAGTGATGGGAGGGCTGGGAGGAGTAGCAGAGTTGGGGAGAGCGTTTGGAAGGGCAGTGCAAAACCTCCCTAGCCTGCCCCTGCACAGGTAAATACAGAGTCCTGGGTTTAGCTGTGCAGTCATTTTTTGTCTTCTGTAGCTGGTGCAGTGCTGTGTGGGGTGATGACAAGGTGAGTTTTGGTGGCCGTTAGGGCTTTCTGCCCTGCTCGTGCCTGAGGGAGTATTGTAGATGTCGGGAGGACTGAGACTGTGGCATGTCCCAGTCTGCCGGTTTGCCCCGCACGTCTGAGGAGGAGCTGGGGGTCACGCTGGTTGGTCAGTGGGTTTGCTGGTGTTCTGATTGTTTGGGGTGGTATTGTGGGGGACTCTTTTCCCCTATTTCTCTTATCGTTGTTGGGGTAGGGTGGTGAGAGTGGGGAAGGGGTGGGAGCCAAGGGAGGGGGGGGATGCGAAGCCAGGCAAATTCACCTCCATCGTGTAGGTTTTCCCTGCCCCTGTCTGCCCATAGGCGAAGATGCAGACGTTGTAGCCATCGATGCAGGAAGTGACCAGGGCTTGAACCTCCTGAAAGACCTGGAGGGGCACCGGGGATGTCAGAAGAAGGTGGCTGTATCTCACCCATCACAAGGGCAGCATGGACAGCAGCACCCACCTCCTCCTGTGATGCTTGTGGGGGGAAGACCTTATCCAGCTCGAAGGACACCAGCTTCCCCTTGTGCAGGAGGTGCAGGACAGCGTCATCGTCGGCGTCAAAGGTTACCGCGTTGGCTGCTTCTGCACCCTCGCCATCCTCCTTTGTAATGGGGCGGACCCGCCCAAAAACACGGATGTTTCCTTGGAGAAGGAGAGGGATGCAGGGATGGTGTCAGCCCCATCGCATTCTGCTGCCACCCCCCTCACCATCAAACACTGGGCAGGCTGAGTGCTGCCGACCAATGCAGCTCATCGCCAACCCTAAGAGGGACCTCATGGTGCTGGGGCGCAGTGGGGTGGTGCTCCCCTGTCCCCCCCTCAGGGACATGCTCTCCTGTGATGGGACACACACCTTTGAGCTGCAACATCTCATTGTGGCACTTCTTGTGGATCTGCAGCTCGTGGCGGTACTTGCACAGCAGCTCCTAGTTGGTGCTGTGCACCTCCTCGATGGCCTGGCTGATCTGGGGGGGATGGAGACCAGTGGCTCAGTGACACCCCCCCCCCCTTCCCCCAGCATCTCCACTGGCATGGGGTGGTAGCCCTGGGGATGGGAAGGTCTCACCATGGCCCTGGCGCTCCGCAGGGTTTCCTGGAGGAGCAGGGGGAAGTCTCAGACCTGCTGCTTCAGGCTGTTGTAGTTGTGGGTGAGGGTGCGCAGTGCTGGCTGCATCGTCAGAAAGTTGGTCCAGATGCCTGCAGGCATGAGGCAGGGGGTGGGGCATGTGGCACAACACCCCAGCAATGGCTCACCTGCGAGGTTCTCGTGCACTGCCTTCATCTCCGCTTGGGCATGGGAAAACGCCTCCTCAATGGCATGGTTCTCCTCCTCCTCCATCACCTGCGTATCCTCCAGCCTCTGCCCATGGGCTTGCTCCAGCTCAGCTTCGTACATCGTGATCTGGGTGGGAGAGGAGCAAGGAGGGTGATGTGAGCTATGACCACCCACTACCACACCGCAGTACATGGAGCCAGGCTGGGTGGTTTCTGAGCTGAGCTTCTGTCTGCTGGGAGCTCTGCAGCTGTTGCTCCAATTCCTTCAGCACCTGCCTCTGCACCCCCCACCTGCTCCTGCAGGTACTGGTTTAGGGACTGGCTCTTGCACAGGGCTTATTTGGCCTTGGCTGATTCCACCTCCACCATCTTGATGGTGTACTGTGTGGGAAAAGTACCTTGAGATTGGGTATACTGGGAATGAAGAACCCAAGGATGCAGCTGTGGCTCATTTGTGAAATCATCATGCTGTGCTGACGTGCACAGGGATGGGTGACACTTTCAGGACACTCACTAGGCACCAATAGGTGCCAGTCTAGCTGTCCTTGCCCAGCCAGGAGACATGGATCAGAGGGATATGGATCAGATGCTCTGAGGGCTGGAGCAGCTCTGCTCTGGAGAAAGGCTGAGAGACCTGGGCTTGTTCATCCTGGAGAAGAGAAGGCTCTGGGGAGACCTTAGTGCAGCTTCCAGTGCCTGACAAGGGCTGACAAGAAAGCTGGAGAGGGCCTTTGGACAAGGGCTGTAGGGACAGGACAAGGGGGAATGGCTTTTAACCTGACAGAAGGGAAACTGAGATGAACTCTTAAGCAGAAGATCTTTCCTTTGAGGGTGGTGAGGCACTGGCACAGGTTGCCCAGAGAAGCTGTGGCTGCCCCATCCCTGGCAGTGTTCAAGGTCAGGTTGGATGGGGCTTGGAGCAACCTGGTTTAGTGGAAGGTGTTCCTGCTTGTGGCAGGGGATTGGAACTGGTTGAGCTTTAGGGTCCCTTCTGACCCAAACCAGTCTGGGATTCTGAGATTCTGTGATTCTATGGAGAGCCCCTTAGTGCTCACCTTTATCTGCTGGGGCTGGGACTTGAGGCTGGCGATGGTCTCCTGGCTGTCCCTCAGCCGCCGGCTAAGCCGCTCCTCCTCCTCGGCTTTCTCCGCCAGGGAGTCCTTGAGCCGCAGCTCCACCTCGGCCAAGCGGTTCGTCTTCTGCTGCACCTCCAGCTCCAGCTCCCCCAGCTTGGCCCGCGCCTCCTCCGCCTCCCGCTGAAGCTGGGACAGCCGCTCCTGCAGCCCCGCGTTCTCCTGGCCCCAAACAGCACAGACAAGGCCACGTCACCCATGGGTGCCCATCACCCTGCCGCGAAGGCACCACCACCAGCCACTCACCTGGAGGTGAGCGCAGTCCTGGCACGGTGTCTGCTGCTGCTGCCGCAGCTCCCGCAGCTCCCCCTCGCACACCTTCACCTCCTGACGCAGGCGCTCGTTCTCAGCCACAAGCAGGTCCCGGTGCTTCTCCACATCCGTGCTGCCCTGCAACGGGGCAGTGGAGCGGGAGCTCAATGCACCCTGTGGAGCATCCCCCAGCCTGCAGCACCCCCCAGCCTGCAGCACCCCCCAGCCTGCAGCATCCCCCAGCCTGCAGCACCCCCCAGCCTGCAGCACCCCCAGCCTGCAGCATCCCCCCGCCTGCAGCACCCCCCAGCCTGCAGCACCCCCCAGCCTGCAGCATCCCCCAGCCTGCCATGCTCAGGGAACCCCAGCCTGCTGCACCCCGGGAAGACCTCATCTGCACACAGGAGACCCCCCCCCAGCCTACTGCATGGATAAATCCCTCCACCTTGCTGCCCCCAGGGAACCCCCAGCTCCTCCATCAGGGGAGCCCCAACCTTCCATGTCAGAGCCCCCAGAGAATCAGTCACTTCCCATTGCAGGGTGACAGTACTGGAGGGGGTAGCCTTGTCTGCGCGACAGCCACCAGTTGTGACATTGCATTGGACAGAAGATCCCACAGACTCCCACCCCTCACTGTCCTTCTCAGCTTGCAGGGTCTGAACTGCAACCTTGGCGAGGTTTCAATCCTCCTGGGCCCTCCCCACATCCCTCAGGGCAGGGGCGGCTCAGCCCCAGTGTGGTGGCAGCTCACCAGCTCCGAGCGCAGCCGCCCGATCTCCTGCGCCTGCTCCAGGAGCTTTGCCTTCAGAGCTTCAACCTGTCAACACAGGCAGGGTTAACCGGGAGGCACCTCAGCAGCTTTCGGAGGAGACCCCGTGGTGCCGCGCCGGCCACCAGTCTGGCTCGCACTTTTGTTATGCCTTAATTTTCCACCTTGCTCTGAGCGCCTGATTCACATGAGCTGATGAAAACGAGCCTTAATGAAAGGCCTGCTTCGACCTTGTTTGACCATGTGTGTAATTTGTCCACGTTGAGCATTAACAGAAACCATTATTAAAGAAAGAAAAAAAAAAAGCAAGCAGCGTCTTTGGAGAAGGAAGAAAACAAACCTATCCATAATTGTGCTTCGAGAGCCTGGAGCACCCGTCCTGCAACGCAGCTCCATTTTGCCTTCTCTATTTTTCTTTCTAGGAAAGTTATCTCTGGAGAAAGAGGAAGCAGGAACCCTTCCAGAAGTCCCCACGTCTGAGTCTGACAGGAGGATGCTCCCCAGCAAACCCCTCACTTGGACACGGCAGACTGCTGCTCCATCCCAACAACCGGCCTCCATGGACCATCATTTAGGAATGCCTGATTAATAGGATACTAAATTAGGAACAGTTTCTTCCCCAGAGGGTGCTCAGGCATTGGAACAGGCTGCACATGGCAGTGGTGGAGCCACCATCCCTGGAAGTGTTCACACACCGCATAGATTGGGCCCTCAGTGCCATGGGTCAGTGGTGGCCTTGGCAGTGCTGGGCAATGGTTGGACTTGAAGATCTTAAAGGTCTTTTCCAACCAGGCTGATCCTATGATTCTATGATTCTAATCACGGTGTGGATGTGCTGACGTAGTGCTGCAGCTAATGACAATCAGTTATTAGGGCACACCCTCACAGGGACAGGGGCAGCGCCTGCACCATCAGCAAGGAGCGTGGGTCCTGCGGGAAAGCTCTGTGTGCTCACGGTGACAAGCAGGGGAAGCGAACCGCTCCCTGCGGCACCAGAGGACCCTGACTGTGTGCCGTGTACAGCAGCCTTGCACCCGAGTGGGAAAACCCCATTTCCATGCTCAGGAAGGCAGATTATTAAGGCATTTTTTAGACACACACGCCGGAGCTTGCCCACCGTTCCCTGTGCCAGCAGTACCCCAAAGTACACCTCCATCGCCTACCTGCTCGGGCATCTCCAGCTGCATCCTGCTCTCTGGAGGCGACAGGGATTCCCTGGTAGCTGGATCTGGCTGAAGCCGTGGCCCAGCCATGCCCAGGCTTTGGAAGTTTGGGTCGGCACTTTGCTCTGTGCCGGCTGCTGAACTGGATGGCGCGGGGCCGGATCCTGCCAGTGCTCACGCTTGTGTCATGCAGAGTATGCCAACCAAACGCAGGACAATTACCTCCGCCTTTTTGACACCCGCGGAACAAGCAGAACCTGACTGTAACAGCTTCCACAACAGCCACATGCAAATGCCTTTATGAGCAGCCAGAATTTCTATCTCCCTGAGATGACCCAGGTCCTCACACTGAGGATGCAGTCACGGTGGTGTGGGACGGACCTGAGGAGGGTTCTGGTGATGGCAGCCGAAACGCTGTCCCCTTTGGCAGGTAACTCTATGCCTTCACATTCACTTTCCACCTCCTGACTCTCAAAAGTCACTAAAATTAATCTGCTTCATCAGTCTAATGAACTTGTCCTGCTCTGGGAGGTTGGACGGTGGCCACAGGGCTGTGACCCTGATTCCCTCCTCACCACATCATACCCAAGGAGCCACATGCCCTCACCAGCATCATCCCAGTGTCACCACAACATCAAACAAGGGGCTGCAAGCATCCCGAGGGAGGTGCAGCCAAAGCTGATGAGCACCCAGCTCATCCCCGCGCAATGCTCTGTGAGGTCCCACGCTCCTTCCAAGCATGACCGTCACTAACTGAAAGCCACAGTGCTCCAGCCAAGCCACAGCCTGAAGGTGGGGATCCCAATGGACTCTCTTGTGTTGCCCTGTCGCCACCATACCTGGCCTTGCAGCTGGAGAGACAGGGAAAGCTCGTCATTCTCCCGGGCAGCAAGCTTCTCCTGCAGCCCCAGCAGCTGCTCCTGAAGCCGCAGCTTCTCCTCCTGCAGATGCGCCATGGAGGCCATCACCTTCTGGATCACCGGGAAGGGCCGGGACGCTGGCAGGCTGGCACGTTTCCCACCACAGATCCTCCCTCCTGCAGTGGGAGCAAAGATGGAGCCGCTCAGGACCCGGCTGCCTCCCTGGGGAACAGGATACCAGCTATGGGGAGAATCCCAGGGGCTGCAGTGGAGGTGGGACTGCAGGAAACAGGACTTGCAGCAGTCCCACGGGGAGCAGCGATGTGCCAGGAGGTACATCCTGCATGCCATGGTGCTGACTGTGGGCAGAAGCACCAACAGTGTGAGTCCCTGGAAGAGGGTGGGTTCCAAAGGGTTATGCTGATGCCAGCAGAACATCCTAGGCTGTAATACCAAGTGTCTGTCCAGGCCACCGTGCTGTGACCCAGCCCAATCACATGCCTCCTCACTCAGATAACAACCGCCTTCACCGTGGCTCTGATTCATGCCGGCATCCTCTTTACTGAATGAGCAGGTGCTGGTCAAAAACCAGGATGTGATCATGTTATTAAAGACTGCATCATTAAACACAAACGTAATGGAAGCCAAATTAAAACGAGATGGGTACCCTGCTCAGCCGTGTTGCCTAATCCTCGTGCGTTCAGCTTCCCAGCCTCCTACTATTACTTTAAACATGGTTTTCTGTGCATTAATGGGAACACCGGTGCTGACAGGAGCCAACCTGGCTGTACATCACAGCCTGCCAAATGAATCCCTAAATGACTTGGTAGTTCCCAAGAAGAAATGAGCTGGCCTGACTCATTCCCAATGTGGGGATGAGGCACTGCAGCGGGCAGAGTGGCGGCCAGGATCCTGGCTGCCCGGCACCCTTCACTGCTTGCCATGGATTTCAGCTGCTGCCACCAGAAACCTTAAGGTTTTCAAGGCAGGAGGTGATGCTGGGAACTGCTTTGCTACCTGCAGGAAGATGCTGGGTGCTTCATAGGAAACCTCCTCAATACAAGAAGCAAGACTTTCTCTGTCTGTGAATCAGACTTGCTGCCTTTCAAAGGAGTTAAAGAGCCAGCAGAGGGGACAGAAAATTAAACCCTGGCACCGAACCATGACTCTGCTGTCAACTATATGCCATGGGACTTACCCGGCAATGTCTGTGGAAGCGATTGCTGGGGTTTGTGTCCCTGACTTGGGCTGAACATCCTCAAAGTGTGACAACAGACACCAGCTGCTTTGTCCACAACAAAAGCTCAGCCCAGCTCAGGCAGAGGACTGCGATGTTCCCTTTGAACCCAGCACACACAAAACCTACCCTGATACTTCTAAAGTTAACAGGAATGCCAGCTGTCACCCCCTGGGGAACGTGCAGGGGTAAAACAAGATTACAGGAGGCACAAGGGCTCTGCACGCATCATCCACCCTCATCCCAAACCTGGGATGGAAGGCAGAGCCAGGTTCAAAGCCACAACACCCAGCTTCAAGTCAAACTGCCAAGCAGGGGTGATCCTGCACGGATAACATGCTCCTCCTTCCTCTAACACCTTCCTCCTGTGAGAGCATCCTAGGGAGAGGAGCTGCTAGACAGATTCTCCAGCCCCAGCATTACATTTTCCTTCAGAGGAGGGAGGTTTTGCTGGTGCTCACCAGCTCTGTTCACCCTGTTAAATAATTCATCGGTGGCCTGGTGCCACCTGGCAGTTGGCTAGTGTTTGATTTCTACCAACATCCAATATCTCCCCAGTTCAAAAGGGGAGAGGTCCTCCTGGTACCTGCTGGCAGGTTCCCTGCACCCATCCCATCCCATTCCATCCCTCCTCCCGAGTGCCCACCACTGCATCCCCGCTTCCCCCTCACCTGTTTTCTCCAGGTCCATGGTGGAGGCTGCCTGCCCTGGGGTGGCTGCTGCCTGTGTGCAGGGAGATGCCAGCAGCTCCTTGGAGGCCAGTGTCGGGGCCCAGGGCTGACGTTTCTCCCGCTGCTGCTCTGATGCCTCCTGCACGGCCTGTGTCCATGGGAAGAAACAGCATGGGGAGCTGAGATGCAGCAGCTGTGCACAACATGGATCTGGCAGCGGCATCTTGCCAGGCTGGCCAGGAGGAGAGAGCAAGGAGGACATTGCAGAGGACAGGCTGAGAAAGCTGAAGCTGTTCAGCCTGGAGAAGAGAAGACCGTGGAGACCTCATAGCAGCCTTCCAGTATCTGAAGGTGCCTACTAGGATGCTGGAGAGGGACTCTTCATCAGGGACTGTAGCAATAAGACAAGGGGGAATGGCTTTAACCTGACAGAGGGTAGATTGCAATGAGATCTTAGGCAGAAGCTCTTCCCTGTGAGGCCCTGGTGATGAGGCCCTGGCACAGGGTGCCCAGAGAAGCTGTGGCTGCCCCATCCCTGGCAGTGTTCAAGGCCAGGTTGGACACAGGGGCTTGGAGCAACCTGCTCTAGTGGAAGGGGTCCCTGTCTGTCGCAGGGGTTGGAACTGGATGAGCTTGAAGGTCCCTTCCAACACAAACCAGTGTGGGATTGTGTGACAGGACAGGAGAGCCTGGGGAAACCCTCCCTCCAAGGGATTTCAGTGTTGAGAAGCTGCTGTGATGGACTTACAATGTTTCTTTCAGTTATCCCCACAAACGTCTTCTTCCCTCAGCTTGCTCATGCAGTTACTCTGATTAGCACCTATTTTTTTCTCTATGGCCTTGAAAAACGCCATACCCTGGCTTGCAGGCAGCGTTGGAGGTGAAGCTGCTTGCTGGTGAGCCATGGCTCAGGTGGGAACACCATGCCCTGTGGGACACAGCACAGCTCAAAAAAAAAATGCAAAGAAACTGAGAAAAAGGGAAAGGAATATACAGAAGATTCCAAATTTCTGTACCTATCGGATGTATCACCAGCTCACAGGGAAAGAAAAATAAACCTGCTTTTTTAATCACTATTTATAAAAGCACAGTAGCACAGGTACCTTTGGAATGCTGAACTGCAGATCAGCCGAGCTCCCGAAGGTGCTCCCTGCCCTGCTCAAACTTATACCTTATCTCAGAGCCTGTGGCCTCATCCTGCAGGCAGGGATGCCAGGAAACCCGCCTCACCCCATCAGATGGATGAGTACTCAGCACATCCAAAGTATCTGAGAGTGATTTGGAACACGCATGTCTGCTGTGCCTCTACCTTTAAGACTCCGGAGGGTTTTGCTGGAGGGAATTTGTCAAGGCTGCTGTGAGATAAGAAGATGTTTTCCTTCTTGTCAAAGAAGGGGAATTTAAATTATTTGCCCGAAGCCCAGGATGAAGTGGTGGCATCAACACCAGTACGCAGTGTCCTGACTCTCCCCTGACACAGCAGCCTTACTCCTCCTTCACCTCGCTGCAAATGCCATCTCAGGATGCTGCATTTTCTTATCTGCCTTGAGCTCTCCTGCCCACATGACCCAGAAGTGACCCAGAAGATGTTATTCTGGGCTGCTCCCCAGCCATTTTTGATGCCTTCCTTCTGGCTTCCTGGAGATACTCCTCTCTCCCCACTCAGGCAGCAGCTTTGCTCCAGGTGCATGACACCGGTATTGGGGCATGACACTGGCTGTGGTAATGGAGAGCTCCCACTGAGGGATGGCCCCACAGGATGTGGGATGTCTTTCCCACCACCCCCAAAATGCCCTCCTCACCTGCAGAGCCAGGCAGAGCCCACGGGGCTTCGGAGTGTCCGGCCAGCTCACGCTGAGGATTTTACGGTGAACCAGGGCAGGCAGCAGAGGAACCTGGGCAGAGGCGTCTGCTCCACTCCCAGCGATGAGCGTGTCCCGCCCAGGACCTGATATGGGGCAAAAAGCATCCCTAGATCAACGTGAGATCCCCAGAGGGACACGGCCTTCAGCCTCACTCAGCAAACTCACCTCTTCCTCCTCGCTGCCACCACCGCACTGGGGTGACACAGGCAGTGCATGAGTCTTATTGAAAATATTAATTATGTTAATTAGAAAAATTAGCCCTTCAGGGGGCGGAGACAACCGGTAATGACAACTCAGGCTGCAGCAACCACTTCTCTGCAGGAGCAGATCTGTCCCTCACTGGGGACATGCCACCCCTGCCCCTCGCCAAGCCTCTCCACTTCCCACAACCCCATCTCGGAAAAGCTGCCAGCGCCACCTTGCATCACCAAAGCCACGCGGATGGACCCTGCCATTACCTCCCTCCACTGCTCCCAAGTATTTCCTTCATTTCTCATGCAGCCAAACCCAAAAGCACACAGGGAAGCAATTCTGAGCTGCACGGAAGGAAAACAGAGCTTGAAGATTTTACCCGTGGCTGTGCCCTCCTTTGCTATGAGAAAACTGGCTGGTGAGGGCTACATCCCAAAGGGAACTGCCTGGGGACACTGTGCCCCTTCCCCATCTGCCACCATCGCAGGCATCCAAATGGCACCTCTGGTAGGCAGGAAGAAAACAACAACCCACAAATGAAACTCCACCAATGCAGGGCTTTTCCCTAAAATCCTGTGGAGGAGCTTGGGCCAGAGGTGGAAGCAGCACCTGGAGGGAGATACGTGCTGATGAAGTCAGACGATTGCGCTGGACTTCTTCCTGCCCTGTAATTAACCATAACATTTCGTACGCGCTGTGACAATCAAATGCTTCCAAAGAGAATGCCCGGATAAAGGTGATGCGACCCTCACCCTGGCATGGGAAGCAACAGCCACCACACAGAGGAACCACTGGAAATCAGTGTTCGGCTGGGCTGGGCACAATGACAGGGAAGAAGCAGCGCACAGATAAGCGGCTGCCAGCACATCGGGCTGGAGAACGCTGAAGCCAACAGCGAAAGAAGTTCAGACAGGGGGTTCCAGCCTCCCCCTCTGCCGAAAACCACCCGTCAAGGCGGCAGGAAGGGCTGCTCCAGACAAACGGCTGCAGGTCGGGGCAAGCAGCCACCCGCCCGCCTTGAAACAGCCCAGAGAGAAAACCTCGACTGAACTCACCTCCGGGCTCCGTGCACCGGGACGGACAAGGAGCCTCCCGAGGAGCCTCCCGAGGAGAAGCGAGGGCCCCGCGTCTCGCTCCGATTTCCTATTTACGTGCTAAATCCTGACGTTTCTCCTCCAGCTTCCCGCTCAGAAGCGCTAGGAGGGAGGTGAAGGCCGCCCTCTCTGCTCACCCCAGAGGCTACCAACGCCTTTGCGCCTGCTTCCGAGTCTCCATTTATCAAATCCCAAGCTTCATCCAGAAAGAAATGTGAAAAATGCAGGCTGGCCTGTTCCCGGCCTCTCCTTCCCCAGGCGTGAGCAAGGGCGTGAGCTGAACTCACCGTCCCGGGGAAGGTCCTTCGTCTTCCAGCAGGCTCTTGCGGATCCCGGATCCCGGGTGGTGCGGGATGTGATCATGGCACGGGGGTCCTGAGCACAGCACCTCTGCGGATAAGCGCAAGGAAGGACATCTCAGCCTGCCTCAGTTCCCAGCCGGGAGAGCCCAGGGGACCGGGCTGGAGCGAACCGCGACGGCAAAGCCGGCCCCGACTCCCGCGGGAAGTTGCATCAATCCCGAGTCCACCCCCCGGGACCCGGGCACTGGAAGCCCCGGGTTCCCTCCGTGCTCCCGGCGGATGTGACATAAACCGTCCCTGTAATTAATGTACTCATTCCTGAAGCCTTCCCAGGCTCCTCCTAACTGCGGACAGGGCGTTATGTATTCATTAACTCCGGGACCGCAGGCAGCCCCGGCCAAGGGCCACTGCCGGGGCCAGGCGGGTACCGCAGCGCGGCGCTGGGACCTGGGGTGCCCCGGAGGCCACACGGACCGCGGGGGCCGCCCCCCGCAGAGGGGGTCCCTCGTCCCCCCAGCTGGCGGCACCCGGGGCGGGGAACGCAGCGGCGCGGTCCCGGTGCCGGTCCCGGTGCACAGAAGGCGCAGCCCCGCCCATCGCCCCCCCCCCCCCAGTCCCGCTACCGGTCCCGCTACCGGTCCCGCTACCGGTCCCGGTACGCAGAGGCCCCGCCCCACTCATTGCCCCGGCGGTCCCGGAGCGGGTCCTGGTCCCGGTCCCGTTGGCACCGCCCGCTGCAGGCTAACGGGGAACCGCGCTCTCGCCGCAGCTCTCAGACAAAGAGAGCCCAGCTCTGCTCCGGTCCAGCCCGGTTCCAACCGCCCCCCTCCTGCCGCTGCCGGTGCCGGTGCCGTGGGGCCACTCACCGAGCGCGACCCAGCCACAGCGGCGGGGCCCTCCGGAGCCAGCCCCAGCCGCGCCCCTCCCTCTCAGGCATTTCGGTAACGGAAACGCCGAGCTCCGCCCCCTTCTCATTGCCATAGAAACCCAGGAGACTCCCCTCAGACGGCGGCTCCCCCCGCACCGGGAGCACGGGGCCCGAGCGGGACGCGAGCCTTGGAGCTCCCGCTGCGTCCCCGGAGCCGCCCCTGCCCCTCGGGAGCTCAGGGTGCCCCGGTCCCCCCTTGTCAGAGCCCGGGGGGGCTCCCGCGGTGTCATTCCCCCTTCTCACCCCGGTCCCGGGGCTCTTCAGGGAGCCCTGGTCTACCCATGCCCTCTTCCGCCCTGCTCAAGTCGGAGCACCTTCCAGCACTGGTGCCGCTGTACCCCAGGCTCCACGTGGCTCTGGGGAGACATTCCATCGGGAAAACCACCCGTTTCCAGCCCGCAGGCATGAGTAAAACAGCGCAGGGTGCCCCTGGACGTCTCCAGAGGGCCTGGCATGGAAAGGCAACAAAAAATTCTGCTTGAAATATACTTTATATACACGTTTTTAGGGTTTGATTTGTATCTACCTGCCTGCCCTGCACATAGCATCAGTATGTTAATGGCTGGTTAGGGTGACACAAGTTACTCATGACTTGCTCATGGTAATTAACTGGCATTACCAGTTATTTCCCACAACAAAACTTGACGTGGCACCGTAGCCGCGGCTGTGTCCCCTTGCTGGTGGCTCACGTCCCCACGGTGGGGTGTGCGGGTGCTGCGGATGTTCAGCGGGGCAGGGTGGGGGTCCCATGGGAGATGCAGTTTTAGTGCCAGCCCTGCAGGCTCTGCTCCCCTCACACATGTGTTCTCCACCTCCTCACTGCTGTGCTGGGAGAGCTTTTCACTCCCCTTGGCCGGGGTTGGAGCAGGATTTTGGCCTTGTGCTTTCATCCCAGCATCTCCCTCTTGGGCATTCTCAGAGACCTCTCCCAGGACACCATCCCATCCCCTGCCACCGGCCAGCCCCATGGGTGAAGGGGTAGTGGGGAGTCACTAGATGGGGGGCAAAATCGTCCCAGGCATTCACCCCAGGAAAAGGGGTGAGAAGGGTCCCCTCCATGTCCCCATGCTCCTGGCACAGCTTCTGCTCTCTCAGAAGCAAACAGACTGAGCTGAGCTCTCAGGCAGAAGTTCTTCCCTGTGAGGGTGCTGAGGCCCTGGCACAGGGTGCCCAGAGAAGCTGTGGCTGCCCCATCCCTGGCAGTGCTCAAGGCCAAGTTGGACACAGGGGCTTGGAGCAACCTGCTCTAGTGGAAGGTGTCCCTGTCCATGGCAGGGGTTGGAACTGGGTGAGCTTTGTGATTCCAACCCATATCAGTCTGGGAATTACAGAGCCCTCAGTGTGCATGGGAGCACATATGTGTGCCTATAGACACACATGTGTGTGTGCCCACAGAGGCCCTGCATTATGCTCTTATGCATCAACACCCTGATAGTGTGCAGCTCCTTTGGCTAGTTTGGTGATGCTATTGACACACATTAAGTTCCCTTCCACTTTCCGATAGCAACCGGAATGTTGTGTCATCATTGTCTCCTTTTATAAGCTGTAAGGTGAAATAAATGTTTATGTAAATGACTTTAACTGCTAATTAATTTCCTGGCTTTTGAACACTTCCTTTTTTTTAATGTTATTGCAATTATGCAATGCACATAAGTTGCATCAATTACATTAAATAAGTCTAAATTAACCAGACATATGTGTGAATTTCCCAGTTTAGAAAAATAACTTAATGAATAAGCATGACAGAAAGCTGGAGATTCAGAAAAGGGTTTTGTGCCAAAAGCTATACTCAAAGAGCCACCTGGGAGCACTGAAACGCCCTCCATGCCGGGCTGCTGGTGAGGACAGTATGGCATTGCAGCAGCTCCAGCACGCCAGGGACAGGATCCCTAGGGATCCAGGAGCAAGGTTTCTTAGGGGCTGGATGCACCAACTCCATTTCCCTTGGAGACTGTGCTATTGGGCTCAAGGGAGTGCTGTGAATCCCAGGGAATGCCCACTTGCTGCCAGATGGGCTGGAAGGGCTGCAGGCAGCAGGTAACCTGCTTGTATTTCCCCTCTCCACAGGGATTCATTGATTCTGGCTTAGGATTCGCTGGCTCCTTCTGGGTTTATCTCAGCCCGGTCCCCCAGTGATGCTCCAGTCCTCCTTTTCTTGGACGTCACATCTCCAGGACCTGAGCTGGTGACATCACTGAAGGTATTTTTAGGAGCACTGCTGCTTTGCAGGCAGAGAAAAGGCAGCGACAGGCAGTGCTGCTGCCAGCAGCATCCCCCTGCTAGCACACAGCAGGTAGCAGGACAGCTCAATATATCGATGACCATCAGCACTGGCCCACCACCGGGACTCAGAAGAGAACTGAAAGCACAGTTCAGCTCTTTGCTTTCATCCCAGCCTTTGCTGTAGCTGAAAAGAGCTGCTGTCAAGTCAGGCAGGTTAATTTGCCTTTTACTTGAATGAAGTGAACCTCCAGCAATCAAAACGCACCACTGAGTGGGGCCTTTTGCCTTAGGCATTTGTTCTGCCCTGAGTAAGTATCTAACCTGCATCTGTAAAACAGCTAAAACACCCCTAAATGCCAGCAAAAATTCAACTCCTCCTCCCCTTCCTTCAAGCAACCCAGTAACATAGTCCAGGAATGCAGGCAGGAGCATACCTGAAGCCTCTTGTACATTGGGGTGCTCCCTGTGGGAAATTCCTACCAGAAGCACAGACACCATTGAGAATGTGTCCCCAGAGCACAATTAATTATAACCCAGCTCATTATTCTAATTGTGCCCCTCCTTGAGGAGGTGAGAGGATTTCTCAGCATTGCTGGGGCATGGTCTGCTAAACTGACATGAAACCCTTCCCAGAGCAGAAATGCCCCCCCTGCATTCCTACATTGCTGTTTTGTGCAAAGATAGGAGCTTTAATTAAGTCTTAGCATGCTCCTGAGAAATTTAATACTCATTTTAAACTTCACCAACTGAATTAATTCAACCCTGAGGTTCTGATCCTTGAGATAGGGTTGTGCTGAGCTGGGTGGAGAGCAAGAGACTGGGGAGGGGTGTTGCAAGGATCACTGCTGGCCTCAGCAGCACCTTTGGATCATAGAGACATAGAATCCCACACTGGTCTGGATTGGAAGGGACCTTAAAGCTCATCCAGTTCCAACCCCTGCCATGGGAAGGGACACCTTCTCCAAGCCCCATCCACCCTGGCCTTGAACACTGCCAGGGATGGGGCAGCCACAGCTTCTCTGGGCACCCTGTGCCAGCGCCTCAGCACCCTCACAGGGAAGAGCTTCTGCCTAAGAGCTCAGCTCAGTCTCCCCTCTGGCAGGTTAAAGCCATTCCCCTTTGTCCTGTACATGCAGTGATGGTGGTGGGGCTCCACAGCTTGGCTCTTGGCTCAGCCCTCCCCCAGCTAAACCTCACACACCAGTTAGGCTGGGTTTGGGTTGCTGGGTGCAGGAGCAGCCCAGGGCAGGATGGAGAAGCTGGCCAGTCCAGCTGGGAGCTGCTGCTTGCCACAGTTCAGCTCTGACCCCTTTCCCCATGCAAATAAGATCTATATTAAGCAAATTGCAAAAGCAACCTCTTTTTCAACCTTGGGCTGCACTGCAGAGCCATCACACCGAACCCTCAGCCTCCCTCCCACCTACCTTTTCATCATATTTTCCAGCTGGCTTCAGGTACAATTTGGGTTTGGCTTTGTTGCTTAGGGGAGGCACATCCCCTAGGTAGAGCACTGCAGGGCTCATCCTGTGCCATGCCGGCTGCTGTGGGAGCCAGGATCTGTGCTGCAGGAGGACCTCAGCTCACCTCCTAAGTCATTACATTAATGTTTCATGGCATTAATCAACACGAGCTCCTGCTTATAAAGCACTTATTGGAAACAAGGATGAGAATAAGCATGAGGTGTCCTGGCCAAGGGTAAATCTGGCCTGTAAGCCGGGGGATGCTCATGCTGGTTTGAGAAGATCCAGCAATGTGGCAGCTTGATACCAAGTAAATTCCTCCTGCACTGCAGGTAGGAGGACCTGGAGCTCCTGGTCTGGCAGGAGCCCACCAGTGGTCCCACAGCCAGTGTTTCCAGGGCATCCTTGGGACCCTTGTCTGCGGACCTGAGGTTCTTCCTGCAATTCTTTTTAGATAAGAAAATGTCTCAAGATGGAAGCTACAGGTGAGAATTTGTTCCAAGTTTTGCTACTTCAGCTGCT